TTAGCATGACTTAGGTAACAAAATGGCTTCTCCTCCTGACACATTAGCTTGTGCATACCTCTGAATGCACAAATAGCACAAACTGGGGTTTGAGTTTGGATACTTGCCAGCACAACATGTAACTCCTGGCTAGTATTTCCTTGACTATATTCACTTCCTTTGAAACCAAAAGTCAACATTAGGACCATATCACATGGTCACAGTGTGATTGTGGAGAACGGATGCTGCATTGTGCAATATTTTGTAGCACACAGCTTCTTGGGATTGTTAACTGGCATGCATTTAAGCCGGTTTCAACTCAGTGGTCCTACTCAACTGTTGCTCTAAAAACTAGTATGTTATGACCCCCCCTGGTGGAATTTTCTGTTCAGAGTCTCAAGAAAAAGCCTATATGCATCAATAGAACATTTTCCCACAGAAGTGGCACAATTTAAAAAAAAAAGACAAGATGTACTCTTTCAAAAGCAGAGGCATCCACAGCATTGAAATCCAGATGTGGTTGAAAAACTGACAATCAGAGTCTTCTGAGTGTCCTGATTTTCTTTTCATTGTTTACAACAATAAAAAATGAAGCTTTTTTTATTTTTGCATGTTTCTCTGTACATATTTTCTCTTTTAGGCCAGATTGATTTCGTTTAATTAATTTTAATCTGCATGGCTATTATTTTGTACATGACAGTTTGACGGTTGAAGGTAAAAGACACCTTTGTTCAAAGCTTGCCAGTACATGTGCAGTTCCTTGTTTTTTCACCTTGAAGACCAGTATGTAACAGGCATGAAATGCATTCTGCAGTCCCACAAAATGAGTCTTCACTCACCATCACTTAATGTAAAGGGAAAGGCAGCAAAGCTAATCAGGGGCAATGCCAGACATTGGAATCTTTCCAAGTTTCCCCCCCCCCCAGTCTGCATGTGGCATGTTTACAAGCTGTCTAAACACAAGGTGGATGGAGATCATCTTCCTGGGAGCTTTGCTCAGACCAAAATTCAGCTTTGGTGTCCGAGTCCCTTTGAAACACAGTTTGTTTGGTTTTGTTGGAAAATAGTGTGACCCACCTTTGGGGGCAAAGTATGAAGCTGTTGGGGTGTGTTGAGAGGGAGGGTTTATGCACGTAACATGTACCTCCTGATCTTTGTTCGAGGACAATCTATGTGTGTCTAGTTGTTTAAATACATAAATGTGCTAATGTCTTGGTGTGAACGCACTTCAGGGAAGGCATTCATGTGTGTACTCTCCCCAGTTAGGCGCACCGGCTACTTGTAAGCAAGCAAGCTAAGAAAACAAAAACAAAGAAGATTAGCTACATGTAAGACGTTACTGAGCCAGACATAGGTAGAAGACACTAAATAGTACTTTCAGATAAAAAGCTATTTTTAATTAAGACTTTTTCCTACCTGCTGCACGGGTCTGACTCTCACCCAAGTGAGGACTGAAGTGCTGAGGAGCCAAGGTCTGAGGACCCAATTCTATGGCACTGAGTGTTAATCCAAGCATGTATGAGTGTCCTCATACATGGACAATAAGGTCCCCGATTGACAGCTGTGTACAAAACGTATGGGTGGTCTTCTGAAAAAGTTTAAGTACAAACAAAAGAGGAACAATAGGGGGTCCCCAGTTGCAGGCAAATACACTCTTGCTTGTGTGAGGGGGGTAAATCTCAAGTCTGTTGAATCACTGCAGACTGCTGATGCCACACAGGGGCTGTGGTCATATATAATGACCAATCCATTTGACTTTACTTTCAGAACCAAAAGTTTGAAGAAGTTGAGGTGCAAGACCCACGCGTCAGAGGCACAAGCTATTGCCGTGGATGCAGGTGACTCCCAAAAAGACATTCATCCTTAACCATGACATCACGGGAGCCAGACATAATTGCTGCCGAAGGCTTTTTTTGTGGATGAACTCTTCCAGTAAAAGGGAAAACATTTTATTTCCAAGTATTGGTTGGGGCAAGATGAAAGAAGATTTAAAGATGCACACATGCACAAAAAAATCTTTCAAATGAATATGCAGTTTAAAGTTTGCTGACAAAGTATGATCCTGGCTTATGTAAAGAACAGTTTTGCTGATTGTTTTAAACATAAAATGGAACTGGTGTTCCTACCTGTACGGTATAATTGTCAGGTTCGTTAATATGTTGCCACAGTATTGTGCTATTTATCAAAGTAATGATTTTTTTTTTAATACAACATTTAGTCAGTGGTGATCTTGACAGCCTGAATAGAAAACTGAATATTTATTTTGTGAAAAATAATTGGAAGGAAGGAAATATTTCTGCAATTGAATGTAGACAGAGAATGGTCTCTTGAGTGTGTTTTAAACTTATGCATACGGCAATGCACGTAGTCAATATTTGTATATTGGCCTACAGATATTGTTCCTTTTAGTGACAAATGTTGCTGCAGTTTTGTTTAGAGCATTTTTCTAACTTTTTCAAGTTCTAATTAATAATAATTTAATACTTCTTGTGTGCGAACATATTTGGACCCCATTTACCCAAGTAATTATTCATCGTCATGTGACCCAATCCAACAAGATTGTAAAAAGTATGGAAGCGGTGACCTTAATGCACTCCTACCGATGAAACTGGGTCACCGCTCACCAAGGTTACTTTTAGAAGTATGCCTGTTGAAAAAAAATCATGCACCACGGTGAAAATTGATGGGAACTTTGAATTGTCTTTTAACTTACTGTCCGGGGTGTGAGACTACATAAAGATCAAAATGAAGATCCCTTCTTGCATTTTGGAATGTAACTGGGAAAAAAGTCATTGTGACATGCCCTCTGAGTCAGCTTCTATGGGATCTGGACAGAAAATAAAGTAAATAAAGAGACGGGAGACTGTTTCCTTCGGGGCGAGGGCGACTGTATTTTATGCATGCAGAGCAGTGCTGACGTACTGAAAGTTATTAAATAAGTACAGTAAATCCTAAGTTAATTGTGCTTTCATTTTCCAATATACATGTTACCATAACACTGGTGCATTTCTCCCAAGGGAAGGGACTCTCATACACTGATGGCCAATGAAAAACACCACTTTTTACTTTCTGGGCTTGGTTTTTACCCACTGACCCAGCAGTACAATAATACTTATGATCGCCTAATTGGAGACAGTGCAATCATAGATGCATGAAGTGAACGAAATACCAAGTGGTTTGGCTAATCCTCCCCACACTACTCACGGTGAGAAATAGGATGGTTGACAACTTTTTCTAAAGTCAAAAGGTGCTTTTTCACTGTCGATGTAAAATTCAAGTACGAGGGGAAAAAAATGCGAGGTCCAACCCCTGAGCCATCCTTTTATACATGTACATGTTAGGAAATCCCGTGTAAGCGTGACGGTGAGAATAAACCAAAATGCTTGAGTCTGACGCTCAGTGCATGAGAGTTAGCAGCCAACTTTAAGTTCTGAATTTCAAGATCATGTTGGAACAGCAGCTTTAGCCAGTGCGTGAAAACACGGAGCTATAAAAAAGAGGTTTAGTCTTAATAAAATTAGCGAACTCTTCACGTAGGATACCGTTATATACAAAGCCCTCAGCAAATAGGCGACGTCTCAGGTTCGGCTGAGACTTGGTTCATGTCAGTACTGGATTATTCCAGAGACCTCTGTTGCCCAATCGGTTGGTAGCTGTGTCAGGGTCACTTAATAAAACTCACTTGACGGTATATTTGATGTATTTTTCTGTCTGTGTGTTTTAATGTGAGTGAATTAAACTAAGCAACAAGGTTGTTGTGAGGTTAATATGTGCCCAATGGCAGGGGGGGGGGCTCATGCCCCGCCTATCATTTTGCAGGTGGTGTGGGGCTTAATGGATTGGCCTATTAATGGTTGAATGATATTTTCACAATTGCCCCATCTTTAAAAATCGTTCCGCCGCCGTTGTGTATGCCTCATCAATATTAAATAGCGTTTTCTGTTAGTCATTACATATTTATAGTATTGCTTCATTTTTGGCTGTGCCAATCACTCTTTTACAAGACAGAGATGCCAGTCTGACCCTGAAAAGGTCTCACGGCTAACTTTGCAAATAAAAATGGAGATAAAATAAAGATTACGGCAAAAATAGGTCGATGATAAAATATGTTGCGACACATTGGTTGTCCTGAAGATTAGCGAAATGGAACCTTGAAGCCAGAGTCAAACTTGGAGGAAAGCAAATTGGAACCGAGACGTGTTTGGCCTCTGCATAACTGCATAAGGGTCTGTCGTTTTAAACGCCTGCAGTACTTTTCGCAGTTCAAATGCTTTTACGTGATCGATAAACCACATTTAAAAACCACCTGGTAATGTCCACTTGGCCAATCTAGTTTCTGAGCACTATTTTTGGCAGGGCCTAGGCTTTCCGAGGGTTTTAGTTGACGAGCCGGGAAATTTGGAGGAAAGCCAAATCTCCACAGAACCCAGTGTGATTTTTTTGGTCGATTTCTCCGTCTTTTCAACGCGCATCCCCTCAACTTAGTGTAGCAATTTTGCACTACAGATACCTTAATTATACAAGTTTGAATTACCGAAGTTATGCTGTCAGATAAGCTAGGGTACTATGGACTCATGCAAGCAACATGTGCCGTAAACTGAGCCATGCTCTTTTGGCAGAGTTTTCATACGGAATGGCTGATTATAGGACAAATGTTTGCACTAATTTTTCGTCAAAAATATCTGAGCGGTCTAAATGCCACCTAAACAGAACAGCGTGTAAACTGATGTATTAGGATGCAAGTCTCATCCAGTCATCATGTAACAACTCTTGCAAGAGGTATCTTTGCTATTGGGCTGGGCCGGAAAAAGAACAAACTCTTTAAAGTTAAAGTGTAGAAAAATTATTTTTCATCCTTCGATTTCCTCAGAGGCAGCATTTTTCCTCAATGTTTCAAAAACACTCCCTCAAATAAAGTGCTTGCCCAGACTCTGAACTTGCACGTGTCGATAATCGATATTTATACATCCAACTATCGATCACTCAAAGGGGTGTGCACTGTGACATACTCGATGCTACTATTTTTACCTCTCTACACGTTGAAGTTCCAAACTGTATGAAAAAACACTAACAAAAGACCAGGGCTCTAATGTTTTCCATTGCAAATGTGCCTTCCTTTCCAAGGAATAGCGCCGTACTGATCGAATTGTGTTTGGGAAAACTTATTTTAAACTGGGCTTTATTAGTAATCAGAGCACGAAGATTGTATTTTTTAATTTTTCAGGATTGCCACATCCAGGCAGGAAAGGAGTTTTCTTTTCTGTCATTTCTATTCGTTTTTAAAAACCGAAACCCCATAGTATGTTTTGCATTATGTTCAGATGAACGTGCGCAAACAGTCTCTGACATGAGTGCAGTTGACGAAAAAAATAGCGCCGCCTGGCGAAAAAAATAGCGCCGCGAGCGGCCGCTCTTGTCTCAGTGGTTCCCGTGCGGTGGCGTAGCTAGGATTTTACTAGTAGGGGAGGGGCAAAAAGGGGCCACCAGCATCTTATGGGGGGGACACCAGCAGCTTTCAGCAGATTTGTCATGACTCGAGTCAGTGATTCGACTCGAGTCCGACTCGAGTCACAATTTTTCTGGGACCAAATGACTCGACTCGAATCTCTCATGGAGACTCAACTGGAGTACAAGCTTGTGACTCGTGTCTCAAAAAAGTTAAAAGCAAAATTTTAGTTGGCTAGATACTTGTCATGCTAATTTATTTTAAATGAAAATAAAATACACAAAATGACTTGCATGTAGTTGTATTTTTATTGTTTTGTGTTCAAAAATTTGTTACTCAAATTGACTCGAGCTCGGTTCTTGACTGGACTACGGTAAAGTGACTCGATTCGACCTTGACCTAATGACTCGACTCGAGTCACAATGTTAATGACTCGACTCGTTACAACACTGGCTTTCAGTGATGATGTGGTTTGGGGAGAGGAAAGGCACCTGGGGCATGGGAAATTTGTGGGGGAATGTGTTCCCTTCCCCCTTGGTTACGCCACTGTTCCCTTCATTGGAGATCAATGCAAAAATATCGAGGTCCTCGCGACAGATGTCTGTAGGCTTGGGGACGGGGACCAGTCTAACCTGTGCTGCTGCTTGTCTGAATCACTTGGCTGTGGCTTACAATTACACACGACTCTATGGGAACTGGCTGCGGCAACTTCCATAGACTCGTCCATGAGTATGGTATCGTCCAATTTTCATCACAGGGAAATACCCCACCTTAGAAAACAATGTCCTGTTTGTTTCAGGAATTTATTAAACATTTAAAGAAACATAATCTTTAGAAAGATAGTATGTTCTTAGTATTAGATAGTAGTATAGTATTAAATTTCACAAATTCATTAGCTTGAAAAGTGTGAACTAGTGGTCAGACAGCACGAATATTATTTTGATCAACGCGAACCCTCGCAATTGGTTTACCTTCAAGGTTAAGTGGTACCGTCAATACAATGCTTCCGGAACTTCAAGCGACATGCGCGTACGTATATGTACACATTTATGTGTACACGTATAATCAAATTTGCTAGTGTTACGCTATGGCAGTATAATAAATCTATGTACGCAAACGCTTTGCAAATCTCCAATTTGTGTAATGTCGTAAAGCTATGGAGTAACCGCTGAGCAACGGAATAACATTCGTCTCCCGTTGGTAAGAATTGAAAGACTAATGACTTTATGTGAGAAACTTCTGCCGCAGCTGATGCTTTTACTAAGCGCAAGCTAGCGCTCGCTCCATTGTTGGCAGACTGGACCTGTCACTAGTCAGTCATAAGACTGTATCTCTCCCCTCCTTCCTACATCATGATCTGAAACAGCTTAGGCCTAGGCAGAAAGACCCAGTAGGCCTAGCACTATTTAGTATACATAGTGTACAGCTAGAAAGCCAGAAAGAGTTCCACATACGTGACATACGGACGCCACTTGTCACCCCGTGCGTGCACAAACCCTATGACTTATGAGACAAGAACCCTAGAGATTGCCACTTTGTGCCAGGTCTGAAAAATTTTATGTGTTTTCTAAATAAACGACTTCGTATTTTCCCTCCTAAATTGAACTTTTCTGGACATAAGCTGATGATTTTGCTTTCTGATTGCTAATAATAAGTCAGTGTAGGGAAAAATTACTGGCGTCTTAATGTATGGAACTCTTCCCGTTACTGCAAAGATGGATTTGTATATACTGCTAGCTTCCAGTTTTAATGAACTGTTTTTGTGTTTTTAATTTTTCTGTGTTAAACTGCATCCTGTCTGCCCATCGTCCTTGGACATGTTGGACATGGTTCATGTTCGCTTCTAACTGGTAGAAATTTCTCAAAAGTGGTTCAATATTTTGATCTGAAAATTGACATCAAATTAGAATCCTGTAATTTTATCCAAGGCTTTTTAAATTGTTGGAATTTGTAATGAAAATTGTGTCAAATTCTTCTCTTCACCTGAATAAAATGGTATTTTTATAACCTGAGATGAATATTGATCTGTCACCCAGACTGATGAGACCTTTGGATGAGCGCCTTGAAGTGTTCACTGCCAGTACCTAACAAGGGTTGTCATGGCAATCAGTACGGTGAGCGGTGATCTTGCCTTGGATCCCCTCATAACATGCAAGCTCTGTCTGTGTGAATATTCCATGAAGGATATGCACCAGATGCAGGAATGTAGCTGTGTTTATTGCATTTCGGTGAGTAAACTACGAACGCATGTACATTGTACGCTCCTTGTGCCCTCTCAACGGTAATACAACACTCCAACTGTAGCATCGGTCCAAGTAGTGAATGGGCCTGTCTCAGCTACAATAGCCAGCCCAAATTCAGCACTTTAATTAAAGTCGGGACTATCATCCGTTTCAACTGTGGTTGGGACTATCCCATTACTGGGACCTAAGTCAGTCAAAGAGGGTGAGAATAGACCTGGCCCTTGAAAACCATTTCTGTTCTAAATGCCCACTACCCTTGTGTAGGCCCTGAGAATTTGTGCACATTTTAATGAAAATCAATTCTGTATACTTTGTCCCATAACCACTCAAGCCTATGCATTGAGGCGTGTTCAGCTTACAGAGAGCGGTTGCTCGACGACAAAGTACCAGCTCTTGTTAACAGAATCTGACCCAAAGTGCATCATGCATGATGGCACTGCACAAGGGAAGAAAAACACCACACTGGTTGTTTGCAACCTTAAAAGGAAAGTGTCTGTTGCTCATTGCATAACGGGTAAACTTTTGTAGACCTGCACTACATATTTTGTTGGATGCATTTACTTTTTGTGTTGAAATGACGTCAGTGGGTGTTTAATCATTCTCCCTCTGTTTGCAGTGTCTTCGTCAGTACTTATCAATTCTCATTCGAGAGGGCGCTGTGAGCAGCATTACCTGCCCAGATGCAGCATGCCGAGAAAGGGGCAAAGTCCAGGGTAACGAGGTAAGAGATCATCCCACAGGCGCTGAGAGTTAGGATGCCACTTCACATCCGAAATCACGATGACCCAATCAATGTGGATGAGCACTCTATGAAGTATGGACGATGTATATGACACATATGAAGCTCGTACAACAATGAGCCAGTTTGATACTTCAACAGCACATGCTCAAAGCAAATGTCATTCGAGAAAGTCAATAGACCCCTTGAAGCTGGTACTCAGTAATGGTTCCTTTAACATTGGCAAGGAACCATTGGCAAAAATGTGAAGCACAGTGCCATACTCTGGCTTTCGGGCGTAAGGCTGGCGCTATCAGCATGGCCTTTCACTGGTTCAGATGCACTGAACATGTTCAAACTGATAAAGATGTCAGGCGCTTTGTTGCAGGACGACCTTGTCTTGTTTTGAAATACTGATCTGGTTCTTTAGTAGAGGACAGGAGAGCATGTGTACCCTCCCCCTCTGTTGTTACCACTTCACATGTCGCTTTAAGCTTTCCAAATTTTTGTTTTGATTACGTTACAGGTTAAACTTCTTGTCGGGAGTGAGGTATTTGAAAGATACAAACATGTCAAATTTGAACTGGGTAAGGGCACTTTCTTGATTGAATCCACAATTGCTTGTTTTATTACAGAGGTTTGGGTTCTTGTTGCATCTGTTGGCATGGAAACTTGAGATGTTATTTTTTTTCTTTACTCAGAGGTGGACTTGGATCCCAACAGAACCTGGTGCCCCGAAGTTGGCTGTGAGACTATCTGTCACGTCTGCGCTGGGGACCCATCTAAAGCTAAACCAGTTCACTGCCCGACTGTGAGTATGGAACTCTCGCCCCTTCCCTGAAGAAAAAATATTGAGAGTTTGTTGTTCAACAAAAGGATGTTTAGCACCTCTGAAGGAGACATGTTGATGACCAAGGGCTAGTTTATGCAAATTTTATTTTCAAACTGTTTTTTGAAAATGTTGAGTTACTTTTGCCAGGAATGTTTCCAGCAATGGCCTACCTAAGACGGGGAATCCAGGGGCTTGAGCCAGCCCCCCCCTCCCCGAGGTTTTGAATGTTTTTTTCACCCTCTGAAAAGACGAAGATACGCTGTGCACCTACATCTTAACCTACTGACGCTGATGCATTCCAGTCCCCTGTGTCGCAACGAGAGGTGGGGAGGGCATTAGCTCCTCCCCACCTCCACGTCAAATCCTGGGTGCATCAAGGCTTCTTTCTATATCACAACATGCATTGCCCATTTCTGTTGTCTTGAAGTCAGAGGCTTAGCTGTGGGGTAGCCAAGTTCCTCCCCGCCTCCCCCGTGGAATTCCACATCCCAACATTGCCCATCATTTGAAACTTTGAAAGTCGGCAACTTGCATGTATGCCACAGTTCACTTCCTTCATAAATGCCTCATAAATGTCCGCCTCATAAATTTTAGATATTGGATTTTGTCGCAGTGTGGCACAGATTTCTGTTCGATTTGCAAGTCGCGCTGGCATGCCAACCTGTCGTGCGGGGAGTACATGGGAACATTGACTCACAAGACAGGCTCCAGCTCCACCCAAGTCTTGGAAGCGCTAGGGTAAGACCGCATTTTACTCTGCACCACTTACCAAGGAGAAAAGACAACCTCTTGCTCCAATCTGCTTGAGAAGTGTCGCTCACAAGCTCAGTTCATCTCACAATCAATACCTCACGTAAAACTGAGTAGCTATTACCTGCTTGCAGCTTGTCTGCCTGTAGTTGGTAAGCAGGCACTTGCATTAAGCAAATTTTGCCATGTGCAAATCCGTTCAATATCAGTTGAATGACAGCATTGGACACGTTACATGCAGAGCTCATTTGTACGCTAAGCATCTTTGCACTTTCAATCCATCTTACAGCAATTTTCCAAATGCATTTCCTTTGTGTATAAGATCTCCATGAAATATTGAAATCTCAGCTATACTGACGTGAGAAAGTCTGATCAGTCCTATTTGCCAAGAGTCCGTCATGGCATTCAGCCAGACCCCTTCAACTGTTTCACCGCACTGTTATCCTAAGTTAGTCTTGCCTGTCTTGTCTTGTAGCATTCCTTTCGACAATGAAGAGGTTGCTAAGATCAAGCGATGCCCCATGTGCCACATCCCCATCGAGCGGGACGAAGGCTGTGCGCAGATGATGTGCAAGCGATGCAAGCACGTGTTCTGTTGGTACTGCCTAGCAAACCTCGACGTAAGTCTTCGTTTTGCCCCAGGTTTTGCCCTTACACGAGTATGTTCATATGCTGTATTCTCAGTGTGGCCCAAATGTTGCAAAAAAATGTTGCAAACTCTCCCGACGCAAAGCTAAATATCGCCGAGTAAATCTTCATGTTGACCATCTATCCTTGTCCCTTACTTTTGACAAGGAAACCTAGTCCTTCTGAAGTTGGCAAGTCTGAGGAATTACCCTCATGTATACGGACTTTGTATTTGCAGGATGATTTTTTACTGCGACACTACGACAAAGGACCTTGCAAGAACAAGCTTGGACACTCCAGAGCGTCAGTTATATGGCACAGAACGCAGGTAAGACCAACAAAGTCTGCCGAGCAAAAGTCTGCTGTTCTCTTCCGCAGGACTTTATCAGGAAAAGTTTCCTATTTTCTTGATGATTTTGTATAGCTTTGGAGGGTGAAATTAGTGACAACGAGGGTTTAAAACGTAATCCACTTTTTGACTGTTGTTTATCAAGGTCAGATGAGCTGTCATGTACAGGGTGGACATGACATGACAGCCTGCTGTTTTGTGTCTTCATGCCAAGAGGCGCTTTCAGTTACTGTAAAAAGAAGAATACTGCATCATTTTTCAAATGAATTGCTGTACGTACCTATAGATCAGATCCCAGAAAAAGAGTTATGCGTTCATCTTTCGGTACATTAATTGATTGGTATTACTTTACTGGTGTGCAAGACGTGCAAAGGTGGCTCTAGCGACTTGCAACTTGGTTTGTAAGATTCGGTCACAAATATTCTTCAAAGCTTAGCTCTGCCCTGCCTGATGCAAGAACAGCGTCGTGTGACAGTTTCTGGATTCCAAGGGCACATTGTTTGTTGACTGTGATTGGTTGTGTCTGTTTGCCCAACAGGTGGTTGGCATCTTTGCCGGGTTTGGCCTGCTCCTCCTGCTAGTATCCCCTTTCCTCCTGCTGATAGCTCCCTGCATCCTCTGCTGTAAGTGCAAGTGGTGCCGATGCTGCGACGAAGACGATGACTTACCCCCAGCCTAGGGGGAGCCCTTGCACATGTGCAAAAATGGAAGTCGTGTGATCCTTTCTCAACAACTCGTTTTGGGGAGCCCTTGCACATGTGCAAAAATGGAAGTCGTGTGATCCTGTCTCAACAACTCGTTTCGCGTTTATTGGCGATGCACTCTGTCGGCCTCATTGCTCAGTAATGTACGGGGGAAGTGCTGAGATGAAATAGCCTTGGTTCACTTGACACAGAAGTTGAGCTGAGTGTCTCCTGGTTTTAAAGCTGCTGTTACCCATAGGACCCCTTCACAGAACAAGCAATAAGCCCTGTCTGGTTTACTTGGCTATGGCTGACTCTGAAGACACGTGCTTATGGGGAGAGGTTGCAGCCATTGGCTTTTATAGGAGTTCATGTCCTCTCCAGCCATGACCAAGACGTTGTTGGAGGCAGCCTCACATTGGTTTTTATGCCGGAGCACGTTCAGTAGTGCAATGCATATGACGGTATCCACTCTGAGTGAGAACAAGAGAGGGCGGGCTTCTTCATGTAAGGACAATTCTTTGTTGGGAACCGTTGCGTACAGACGCAGATTTTTGAGCATTTGGTGAAGGATGCAATTGGCAAGTAGGACACAGATTCAACCTGCCAACTCCACCTAATCTGGCAAGATTCTATGTGATGTATACACTTGTTTGGGAATCAGGGCTATGGGATGTCACCTCTTTTGTGCGTGTGACTGTTAATTACTTCATAATACACAGAGATTCTGCCGACAAATGGGAGCCAAGATTTTGATCTCAAGTTTGGAAACGATTTTGATGCAATTTAGCCATGCTTATCCATACAATTTGGAGCAGGAGTGTAACCCAATTAAAAATATGTTTACTTACCATTTGTGTGTATATATAGTTGTTTTTATTTATGTACGCATTTGTTAGAAAAAGGAAAAAAAAATCTGACGGTAGCGGCACACTGTAGCAAATAATGCTTTAGTTTCACAAGTGGACTTACTTGAATCTGGTTGAGGAAGAAGCCAAAAAATTGAACTTTGCAATGTACATGTAATGGATTAGTTTTACTGCAGTGCGAAGCTTGCACGGACCGTTTGTTACCACCTGATCTTTCCTCAGTGTGAATTCTTCACCGTATACGCTTTTATTTTTCTGAAGGTTAGTTTTGGTTTCATATGTATGGCCATACAGTGTGTACTTGATTTTACGCGTAAAGTTTGTTCGTAAGGATGCACATTCCTTGAACTCTTGCATTTTGTGCAATTATGTCATTCTTTTACTTGCATAGACAATTCTCCAACAAGATGCACAAGATGGCAATTCTAATTTGGCACAGTTTACGGCTTTTACAAATGTATAACTGTAAATGCGGTATATTATTTTAATTGTCTTTCTGGGAAAAGGATTTACCTGTTGCCACCGCACGTGTTTCACAGTTGTCTTTCTCTGCAAACCAGTTTGCTCTATGGAGGCCAAGTAGACATAATCAGGCAATTTTTTTTTTCATGGGGGAAGGCAAGCTGATGGGATAAACTGCTGATCCCCCCCCCCGTGCCTAATGATGGGTATACATGTATGTACAGTACACGTTTACGTACATTTAGTCTCACATTTATTTTGTATAGACACAACAAGTCCGTGGCCACTCTGCACGACCTGCAGCTTGTTACCTGTGGTGTTTTGGCTGAATTTCAAATATCCGCGGATTTACTTGCCCTTTCGAAAGTTGGGTTTTCAGCCCTAAAAGTGCACCTTCAGCAAGTGGTTAATGTAAAATGAAGGGCAGTGTGTACAGGTTACAAAACACAGGGCGACAAATGAAGGGAGTTTAAAAATGAAAGGTGAAATTTGGAGTTAACATTGAAGGCTGTAAGATCCTTGAATGGAGTCGTGTAATACATGTGCATGTGCCAAAACAGCATAGGCCACGGCACACTGACTGAGCACTACGTGATAAACAGTTTTGGTTATGCATTAATAATGTTAAGAGTATACATGTATAGTTTTTTTAGAAGTCAGGATAACATGACACAGATGAAGTAAAAGTGCATAATTACTTCGACTCCCTGTGCAGTGTTCCGGAAACTCCAGTCTAAAAATGCTTATGTCCATCACAGGTCACCTATGCCGTGTTATTGTACAACTCACTGGTCCAATGATCCCCATCCCACGTGTAGTGGTTTAATAGCCAGGAACTATTCTGTGCGTATTTAACAATATTTTATACAAGTGGGACCAATGTTGGATCTTTAAACACCTAAAAGTTTGATAAATGTGCTTTTAAGAAATGTTTACAAGGACGATTGGGAATGAGGCAGGCAGGGCTATCTCTAAAAAGAGCTGCCTGGTCGCCTACATGACCGAGCGCCGCCTCCTTTCATTCTGAGGATTGGCCCATCAGTCATTATCAGTTGTTTTGCTCATCCAGTTAAGGCCTAGAAAAAAAAAACTTCCAGAAAGTGACTTGTGTGGTGTCAACAGCACATTTTGTCAAGGTCGGGAAAAGTGTTCGTTCCGAAACTGTCCAGCAGCCGCTGAACATGTCATGAAATCTTGAAACTGTTAATAATCCCACCTCGTGTTCATTTACACCACCCAGTATATACAGTAAATAAAAGTCACTGCACAAAATGCATCTCATGAATTGAAAGTTCTTCCCCCCCCATTGTGTACATTAAAAAAGCCAGTTCTTATTCCAAAAGTGCACGTCCGAAATGAAGCAAGGTCATTCAGATGCGCATGTTTTGCCCTATCCATGCAGCTTCACACCAACTTCCACGCACGCTTGTTCCCTGCTGACCTTACGTCTTTGAAATAGAGAATTTGCCCATTCCAAAAGATTAACTTTGATCAGGGGTGTGAGTGGCCACTTAAAATTAAAGCTGAAAACGGCTCGCAAAAAGGCTGAAATGTAAGAGTTCCATACTCGTGTACAGACCAGGTGTACCAAAAGCTAAAATTCAGGGTCGACATCTTTCCAAAAGAAAGCTAATTCTCACACCCGTTTAATGCTTTGGAAACGAGCTGCAGGCTGTCCATTCTTCCATATTTATCTTTGTACAATTCTCAGTCTTGCAGAACCCCAGAAATGTTCGGATTCACGTAAAAACAAGTACATGTACTTTTTAAAATGCGTTCTAAAGCTTGGTTTGTCGGACTTAATTCCATGGGTAAATAATTCAAAGTAGACCCAAATTTAAATGATTCAAAAGACCGTCAAGCTTACAGAACTTTGCAATAAAAAATGGCACGTACACCAGGTTTGTTGCTTATTATTTTTAAAGACAAGAAACAGGATTAAATTATATTTACAAACTCAGGTCTACGTGAAGATTTGTCAATACAAGTACTGTACAAGGATTTCTCTTCCCTCTCCAGTGTAAAATGAGGCTGAAAGTGTATACAGGTATGTCATTGCAGTTCAGTGAAGAGAAAACCTTGTTGAAACTTTTAAATTATTCAAAGGGAAGTTCAGGTACAATTCCGGAATGTATAAAATGTACACAACATCATCTTCAGACAGCTAGATGAAGACACGACAGCTGCTTTGGTGAGCACTTGTTCAGCCATGAGCCCTAGAAGTCATTACAAATTACGAGCTTAGAGGTATAATGAGGAAAAGATAACTGCATGGAATGTGGGGTAGTAAAAACGTGTACATGTAGTTACAAATGCAGTAAAAAAGTTCAATGACCTTGAAAATGTATTACAAACAAAGGAATTTCCGGCAAAGTTATGCAATCGGTCTCCATCCATGTCCATTCACTCCTGATCGCTCCACTATTTCAATATTGGTTAAAAATTTTTACTTTCAAGTTTAAGACACAAATGGCATTACCATTTAAAAAACATTCAGAACAAATAAAATGCATGCTACATAAATCACTTTTTAAGTACACGAGAAAAAATGTGAAAACACAAAAAGTAAGCTAAGTACAGGTCATCCTCCATTTTGGTCTAATTTTCAAACGTCCTAATGGCAACTATCTGCCTATAAATGAAAGTTTGAAAAAAATATCCAGCAAAATTTCAAACTTGCCTTCAACGTCGCTAATTCTCACTTATTTTGACAGATTGGCGTTAAATGGCAGTGTTTGGCTGGTCGACTCTGACTGAATATAAAAAGTGCCCAATAATAACTAATATTTACAATAAAACTTGCATGCTGATTTTCTTTGTATCAAAGCATAAACCAACCTGACTGAAAAAACTTCCATATTACTGTTTTCGACCTTACAATACGTAGAACTCTTTAAGTAGAAATCTCATATCCGTAGAGTGCCCATAAATGGCTATGCTGACGGAATAAAAACTTAATTATAGAAATAACCACTTGCTCGTTCATTGTTGCTCTAGTCTGTTGCTGACAAACGGAAACAGAAAATACAAACATTGAAGCTGCCCTGCTTGCCACTGTCCCAACATGCATTGCTAGCTGATATCCCGGCTCGCATTGGCCCATGATATCTGTATTCTCACACTGAGTTTAGTCTACCACTTAATCCACTCGGGAAAAGAACTTTAAAATTCAGGGTAAAAAGACTCTCTGGTATAAAAAGTTGAGATAAAGGATTTTGTCAAAACTGTTAGAAGGGAGGTAACACATTTAACTACACAACGCCAAGGATTAAAATGTAGCACCACAAAGATAATTGTTGGAAACTTATTGCAACATGACGTTTCCCCCAAAATTACATCTTACAGGACTTGTTTTGACACAATTCAACTGCCATTTATGAAGCATTACACTTGACTTGAAGGAAAGAATGACTGGGATTAACAGCAAATGTAGAGGGGGTTCAGATATATCTCATCTGCTCGTGTCTCTTATCTAGAAGTCTGCGTCTAGTCTGAACACCTGCTCTTCTTTGGACGCCATGACACCTGATCGCTGGTACTCGCCGACCCTCTTCTCAAAGAAATTTGTCTTACCCTCCAGCGAGATGTTTTCCATAAAGTCAAAAGGGTTTTCCACATTCCAGATCTGCATGAAATCAGTAAAAAAAAAACATTTATATATTAGTGCTTGATCAACAATATTTTAGAAGTTGATCGGGTGTTCTTAGGGAGGGGGGGATCGAGTTTGCCATCTTCAAAACACAGTTTTTGGACTAGTGGCCATTAGGTTGTACAGTCAAAACCAGAAAGGAACATACCTTTGTGCATTTCAGCTCTAGGAGTAACCGGTCGGCCACAAACTCTATGTACTGCTTCATGAGCGTGGCATTCATGCCAATGAGGGAGCAGGGCAGGGCGTCTGTCAGGAACTCCTGCTCGATCAGGACAGCTTCCCTGATGATGGCCTTGATGCGCTCCTCCGACGGCTTGTGGACCAGATGGCTGAACATAAGGCAGGCAAAGTCACAGTGCAGCCCCTGAGGATTGGTTGAAAAAAAGAGTCACTTTAACAACCGAAACACTGTTCAATTCTTTACAGCCAGAACATTTGATACAGTAGCATAACCGGGCCCAACATAAAGGGCATACTTCGGAAGCTTATTTTCTGGAGGAGGAACTCCATTGTGTCTGGCCATAATTTTGGTTTGAACTCATAATGGACCCGCTTAATCACGCAACCTAAAGTGGGTATCAACCCCGTGGCAATGTGTGTTTAGAGTGTTGTTTACAAACAATATAACCAAGTTTAACGGTGAAGCACCCTGAACATCAGCAGTCCGAGTCCGATACCTACTGTCGACTATTTTTGGTAAATGATACTCATGAAACACTACTTTTGGCAGACGCAATGTTTGATATTTCACACCCAGTGTACATGTAGGTCATGTGACTTAGTGGGTACAATCGGTCTATTGCTTCACCAATTCTAAGAGGGAGCGCCAAAGGGCCCAAGGCCCCCTGACAAGCCACTGTATCAGTGGGCCAACAATTGGCAGCAGAAAGAATATGGACACTAAATTTTGACCACAAGTATGTAACTGGCAAGCTGAAGATCTTCCAAGCTGAACAAGACTCAATACATGTATAAGGCTTTTTTTAGCAACTTGTAATGATAAAAACCTTAATGAAGTGCGACATACCTCGTCGCGGCTGATCAGCTCGTTAGAAAAGGTCAGGCCATGCATTAATCCCCTCTTCTTCAACCAGAAGATGGAAGCAAATGAACCCGAGAAGAAAATGCCCTCCACGGCAGCGAAGGCCACGACCCTCTCCCCATAGGTGGTCGAGTCCGAGTTGATCCAGTTCAGAGCCCAATCTGCCTTCTTCTTAACACAAGGCAGAGTCTCAATTGCATTGAACAGGAACGTCCTTCAAATAGAGAAAAAAAACAAATCGTCTGTTTCAGAAGACAAAGTATGCACGTGTCAAATATTCAAACTTCCCCATGGAAGAAGTTAAGTGGTTTCAAATCTGCTAGATCTACAGGTGTGTACACGTTTTGGGGAATCAGGGTACATTTTTAGGCTGCCTAAGAATCAGCTAGGTCTTGGTCTTCACTCCATTGGAAATAGGTGGAGAAGTACAGACAACAGACCTGGCTGCAAGCTCTGGAAGCCCGTTTTGGACACGGCTCTAAACTGCCTCATTCTGGCATGAGCGATAGACCCTTTTTGAAGGACTGCTTTCTACTGAGACTCTAGCCGGATTAAGAGAGGATGCAATTTTCGCAGCAACAGAGGCTATTTTGTTCGAGAACTGAACTTCGCTGGTTCACAAACAACCATGCAGTGCAGGTGTCACGGTCGCATCACCAATGAACTTGACAAGGGAGTGCTAGCCTGCTCGAGGCAGATAGGAAGATTCAAGATTCGGCGCACATGGGTGACCTTTACACTTGTGAGCGTGAGCAGCGTACCTTTCGTCTGGGTCCCGGATGTAGGTGTCGATAAGCAAGCTGTACATCTCTGAGTGGATGTTCTCGATGGCTATCTGGAAGCCATAGAAGCAGCGGGCCTCGGGCACCTGCACCTCCTGGCTGAAGCGCTCCACCAAGTTCTCATTGACGATGCCGTCACTGGCGGCAAAGAAGGCCAGGACATGCGAGATGAAGTGTTTCTCCTCCTTCTTGAGCATTTCCCAGTCCGGTAGATCCTTGGAGAGATCAACCTCCTCTACTGTCCAGAAAGACGCCTCGGCCTTTTTGTACATCTCCCAGATGTCCTAAAATGACAATTGACAGCCAGAATCAAGTTTTATCAATCTTGCAACAAACGGCCATTTCAAACAACGTTCCAAACTTGTCTTTATTTAATGGACGAGTTCCACATTTTACACTTTGAAGAGGTGGGGTAGGTGGCAATTCCTACCGCGTACAGAGGGAAGGCAATTTGCAATAGAAGGGAGAGGTAGGACACGAGGATAATTTACTTGACATTACCTTATACTGAATGGGGAAGATTACGAAGCGACGGGGGTTCTCTCGTAGTAAAGGCTCATCTTGTAGCAGGTCTTGCTGTTTTTTCTTAAATTCCTGTGGAAAACAAAGTTGAAATTCTTAACACGAAGAGTAATAAATGGCCTGGAATGGTTAATTTCAAAGCATAATTGAACTCCACTTGTCACTGAAATAGTTCTACTTCTGCAGTGCAAGTCATACTTTGTGGGAATTGTGCAGGGAGAATGTCGCAATTAAGAAGTATCGTCACCGTCGGACATTGAGGTACATGCATTTAGCTTACAGCAACTCGATAGAAAAATAACATGAATTCCTTGGAATTATTTTCCACTCACCTTCAGTTCTTTCCTTTTTTCTTCTTTGGAGGGGGTCTTTGACGTATGAATAATATTCTAAAGAGGGAAACATTAATAAACATTTCCAGGATGAGATTCGGTAAAAATTTACCAGCTTTAAATGTGACAAATCAAACAGCATATTAAAATAACCTCAAGCTAAAAAGAATTACCAATTTAAAGATTGGAAAGAGTTTCATGGATGCATGGACATCACTTGACGCCCTGTGCACAAACTCTAATTTCTGTGGAATTGCTTCAGTGTTTGCCCTTCTGACTTTTTAGGGCACGTTATATTCTGATGGCTGATGTACCACTTTAGGGAAAGTGGCGATGTCTGTGTATGGAACTCTTTCCTAGAGTCTTTATTACAGAGGCAAACGATGAAAGGAGGGGACGGGCTCAAAAACTATCTCTGCCTTGCAGTTGATCCAGGCACATAAGTGGTCCATTTATTTAACGGCAATGTACATATCTCTTTTCTCATAAATATCATACCGAGATGTCCAATATGCAGACTGAAATATAAATATATTTTGCAACAGACGACCTGAGGACATGTTGATTGTGATTGGCTAAAGTGTTGCAAACTCTTGCGTTGGAGATGCACTATTGTGAATCGCCCGTATAGACCCCCTGTGTATGGCATAATGTTAGAGGGCATTTCTTCCTCTCTAGGATCGACAGGCTTGAGTAAATCTTTCGTGTATTCATTGTCATTAAATTAAAATAAAAAATAGCCTCCAACTCGACCTTGACGCAAGGGTTTATTGAACCGTAAAGTACATAAGCAGGGTAGGGTTATAAAAAGCCTTGGGCCGTCAGATGCAAGACTCATTTATTTCCCACCATTTTTTGAACAAACTACATTTTTCACCAAAATCCTGGTTTCTAATTAGGCCTAGGGCCTATCAATTAAGCTTAGGTTTTCAAACAAACAGTTGTGCATTTATTGCATTAGCCATGTTACGCCTAGGCCTACTTCTAGTTCTACTTGTACGTTAGCATGATCGTAAATTAAGTTAGGCTTAGCCAAGTCTTGCAGCGAAACCCCAGTCCCCACCTTAAATTCCTGCTGAATTGATTTCATTCAATCCACGCTGTTGAAATATCCCACTACTGAACATGGCAATGCCACGTACGACCACCACCATTCACTGGTTGATCCTCTCTGAATACGCAGCAGGCATTCGATTCCAAGACACGCAAACAATGGGCTTCGGTTAGCCTTCCCGCGCTCAGCTAATGTTGCATAATCAGTTGATTACACAAGCAGAACAAAAAATCCCAACCGATTTTAACCGAAACATTACTTAAGGTCGGTGCAAACAAAGAACATTCGCCTTCACTTACGTGTTTCTGACTGTCTCCCAAAACTTTTAATTGTTTCGTCTTCATTGGGTACTGTACGTGGAAATGAAAAATACGGTCCATGAGGTCATGGTAGTCCTGACTAAACCAGGAACCCATCATTTTACTGACGAAAATGTTCTTATTCCTCCATGATCTGATCACTAAGTTTAAATATGTAGGCTTACTGGCATAGTTTTAAATGAAACAAGTGAATTCAGTGAATGTCAAAACTTCCCAATGAACGTTTCCAAATTTCAGTGCACTCTAAGTTAAGTACAGTTATAGTAGGCGACTAGTCCTGGGTCTGTCGATTCCCGAACAAAAGCATGACCAACACAAAAAGTTACCTGGTTTTCCTGGTCGTTGATCCTCGCGTTTTGGAGGTTGTTGGTCAGGGTCTTCATCTTGGTAGAATCTGGTGAGTGCATGGACAACATTTTGAGTTTGGGGGCTACCTTACGGCGGGGAAGGCAGTTCAACTGATGGTATTTGAGGTGGGATATGGACTTGCGGACAGGACGGGAGCAACTGGTCGAATGAAAGACCGGTTCTTCCACCCTAGATTGATTTTGGCGCCGGCGCCCCGGCGGCCAGCATATTTACATAAAGAGAACAAACCGGTCTACAACGCCCAGAATAAAGTACGCCAATTGGCTCTTGACTAATCTTACCTCAATAAACTTCCCATGATTGGTTGCTGAGTGCAAGCCATGCGGAGATGGCGTACTTGGGTAGGACCATAGAATGCAAACAGGGGTGTTCACCGATCTTGTCTCTTCAATAAGGTCATTTAAAGGGTAAAATGCAGTAACTTGTACTCGTGAATATTTCCAATAAATCTATATACATTTGAGTTACGTGCACTATTAATTAAATGTTGATAATTGGCCGTAGTGCAATTTATTAGAAAGATAACCTTTAAGACAACCTTGAGAACTTGGAATAGTCCAACAGACATTGGACCACAATCGGAACTATTTTATCACTGATTGTGTCCTGCCCCTAGTCCCCTGACTCCCTCCCCATATCAAAACCCCCTTTCGTCTATATCCTCTGCAAATGATGAGACGACCGAAATATACATAATGCGTTGTAGACCAACATGATTGCACTGGGGTGATGTTCTATCTTTACTTTTTTACAATTTTTTAATACAAACCTTTAGCGAGCGATGTGAATCAAAGACTCGTTTTTCTTTTCTCTAAAAAAACTTTCCCAGGCATGATGACCTCGACGCGTCCTTGATGTGGAAAGAATAGTGTCAAGGGTAGTAGCTAATGGGTACGATGACGCCAATGGAAAAGGGCTACCAAAATATATCTCTATTTTGAAAGTTTCAAGTTCAGAGAACAATTTCTAGTAAGTTCAGAAGCAGAATCGGTTGGTCACAAAACGTGGTGCCCTTAACATTTAAGTATCAACCACATCTTTTTCATTGAAGATCGAAAAGTCTGGGGCGTTCGAAGAATCTGAGAGAGCACGGCAATACAACAGTGTGGCGATAAACGCACTGCTATGCATCTTTTGATTGTACGGGAGCAAGATTTTTTTCACACTATCAGGAGTGGCAGCAAAACTTTTTTTGCAAGTCCAAGTCAAGTCACAAGTCAAGCTGGTCTAAACACCAGTCAAGTCACAAGTCTCATTGTCCAAGTACAAGTCAAGCTAGCTGCACATTATTTTGTCCAGCTGTGATAAGCAAAAAGAACTAGGCGTCAACTTTCAGAGTTACAAGTTATACAAATACATGGGGCCGGTGGAGTAGCGTCTGACTTGGGTTGATAACAAGTCATTTTTTGCAAGTCTAAGTCAAGTCACAAGTCAAAGCTGGTATTTACAAATCAAGTCACAAGTCACGAAAATAGCGACTCAAGTCGGACTCGAGTCCAAGTCACATGACTCGAGTCAGCGACTCTGCACAATATATAGTCTTGACATATACCACACTCTAATGTGATTGGGAAAATAGTTTATAGCCAGTCTTGGAAGGAGACTAGTCTTCACCTCTCGTGACAGTTGAAATTTCGGACTTTGAAAAGAAAAATCCTAAAGAGTCAAGAATTAGAAAGGAAAGGAATTTTGCTGCATTTGAAAGTGGAATACAACTGAAAAATTTGATCGAAAAAAACAATACGGCCGTTTCACAATAGTGCGCCACCAAGAGTTTGGAACGCGCTGGCCAATCACAATGCACAAAATTTGTCGACCCAGTGCGCGTTTGGAAAGGGTCGACAATTTTCGTGCCTTATAATTGGCCAACGTGTTGCAAACTCTTGGTGGCGCACTATTGTAAAACGCCCGTATTGATGACACACAAACGTACTGTACTTACGTCTAGCCTTTAATCTAGCCTGGATATCCATGGCCATAAAAATCCGCTCAGCTAGGCCCTGACACGTATGCAGGACGGGAGCTCTTAACCAGAACTTCTAGAATAAACGTAATGCAAGGATGGTCAAGGCGCCCTCCTTTAATTTTAAAGGTTTATAATCCCAAACCTTAATCAAAGTTAGATCACTTCGTATGCACCATTCCGATCCAATTTTGGATTATTTTGTGCAATAAATAACGTTATTACAAATAAGTTTTGGAGTGTACATCGTGATTTACCTGCAGAATTTAGGATATGGGCACTGAGTTTGAAGTGGCCAAAAGCTGGTGACTTTGTCAATGAAGACAATACGTACCCAACCTGTCCAACGCGAGATTCGGCCATTCCAGGACTTCAGGCCTAGAACGGCAATATTATATTTAATGTTCACTCCTGGTAATTAAAAATTACATTTTTCCGAACAAGACTGGATTTATGTACACTACCGAAATATTTGGAATGAATCTATACATGCACGGCCGCGTGCAGGTACTTACATCACGTAGTCTCGGTTCCCTGGTCGCTAGTTATCAATACAAATATTTTTTTATAACAATCGGAATATACAACATGTACTACAGGCAAATAATTTTGAAAAAAACATCCTCCGGCCAAGACTTTAGCCTTCATTCAAGTCGGCTTGTCAGAGCGTGTGTTAAAAATGTCGCGGCTGGGTTAGCTATGAGCTGCTTGGGCCAAGACGGCAGAACTCGATGGCAGACTCAATCGGGATGCAGACGCAGGCTTAAGTCTGCTTGCCCTGAAGAAGGTACTCAGTTAACAAAAGCTCGGCAATCACATATTTCAAAGCACTGATTTTATATTATATTCTTGTCAATATTCTATCATATTAAGTAGTACGTTTAGCGTCGCACAGTAGTGGTTTGTACATAATTGCGTGATACATGTAGGTCATGTGATGCCAGTCATTGATCCATATTCGTCACATACAGATTCAACTGGAATTTCCCGGGCGCCGATTGGTTCCTCCAAAATTCGGAGGAAAAGTAAAGAAAAAGTTAAACGGTTTGTTGGAGATTCCCAAGAAGGTAGAACCAGTCGATTGGTTAAATGAAGTCACGAGAGGGCGCAATAGAAATGACGCGCGAATAATGCTCAATCGAGTTCTGCGGTCTTGGCCCAAGACTACTGGGCTAGCTGCAGGCAGGCCCAAACACTGATCTCTATAATAAATTTTATTATAGTGGCCCAACCATGTACCACCGGCACCATACCGTGCCGAATGCGAAGACAACTTTCGTAGCCATGGTTACGATATTGTTCCGCTTCTGCATTCATACCGTTTAATTTACCAACAGAATAGTTGATTTCAAGCATTAAGCTGTCTTTGGTGTGCAATTAATAATTTAGAGAAAGATTCAACCCCACTCGGTTCTCTTTCACGTTTACGAATTTTCACTAAAACAAAATAGTTCACTAGCGCAGTCACATTAGCAAACAAGGAAGGGCTACAGGGCACATTAGCAAAATAAGACGTGTGCCTGTACGGTGCAATGCTTGCATGTGCGCTTTATCAAACTTGGATCATATTCTAGCTTGTAATTAATCATTGTGGTGGAAATTAAAATAATGGCAGATAGTGTACAGACGTTAGAGCCCGGTTACAGAAGGTCTGTAGGTGGGGAAAAATCCGGTAGAATTCACAAAGGTAGGTCCGAATCGAAAAGTGTTTAGTTTACCGACTTGACATGCTCGAGTCAACATGACTGGCTGCAATGGTTTCCCGCTGCAATAATGTATCATCGGTCATTTAGAATCGCCATAATAAGGTTTTCATTTTCAGCTGTAGCTAGTGGTCTTGGTAGCAGTAGGGTAGACGTTAACTGATTTGGTCATGCAATGTCACTAAATTTAATTCCTTGATCTTGTCACTTTCATTGCACTTTAACTTGAGTTTTGGACAATTTTTGTGTGTGCTTGTGAGTCTTTTTTGGTTGTGTTTAGGCTATTTGATTTGAGGGAGGTGTAGTCAGATAGCCAAAGACAAGATTCCCAATGACTGATACACTTTCATAAGTTGTGACTGTTGGCTCTGTAGCCTTACAGAATTTGTGAAAAGTACCAGTTAAGACACTTCTGCCTTTGCTGTAGTCTGCCCTCTGGCCTAACTTAGCTGTACTGTCTCAAATTCAATGTTGTGAAAGCATTTTTTGTGTCATGTTCTGTTTTTCTGCATCCACCCAGGGCCAGGCGTTGTAGCAGCTACATCATCAATACCAACCAAGTACCAGACCATTGTCACACCAAATACGGATAAAAGGGGCTTTGGCGGGACCACAAAACGATTCAACTATGACCTGAACGTTGTAAGTATAAAGATTTGGAGTTGTGTCTACACAGGCACTCTTATGATTAGTGTAATTAATAAATTAACAGGTGCTCTTTACTTTCGAGTAGATGTTATATACCTCGTAGTAAACTACTTGAACTTCAGATCGGTGTTTTATTACTGTTGATGGTGTTCATTTGTACATGAACACTCACCAAAAAGTGTATTTACACTCATCCCATACCTTGAATACTTAGAAAAGGGTTTAAATACATGTACATCTCTCGTTGCAACTTACTTTGGTGGTCATTGTTCTTATTAAAACTGAGCTCTGCCATAGCAGTCGTTTTGAAGTGAGAACCAATACTTAGTCAGCAAAGTATAAGTGAAGTATTTGTGCTGTCTCACCGTTCTACTAGAATGAGAATCCTGGTCCAGGAACCTATGGCAATCTCAGAGTGGGAGCTGTCAAGGATAGCACGTCCTTCTCAAAGAAAGGGATGGGCGTCGGCTTTGTCTCCAAGGTAAGTGGTGAGGGACTTACTTGGGGTTTTAAGGGGGTGGGTCTGAGGTATGGTCATTCAGTCAGTTCCTCAAAACTATGCTGCTTCATTCCATGAACAATTACACTTGTGAGTGGGATATCCCACTTGTGTCACATTGCACGAAAGCAAGGGATCTGGGGTGGTATCGAAGCCAGCCTGACTCTCAATGGGGTTATTAACTCCTAAAACTGAGAAACTTGAGTCCTATCTTAGTCAAGTTATTTATTAGTTAGGACTGTGTCACTGTTGATGACTCCAGCACAGCTGACAGCAAGGTTTGATTTTCATGTATCTGTCTACCATGAGCAAAGGCTTTCTGCTTGTTAATACTAAAAAATTTTGGAGGCTAACAAGGAATTTTAGATTAAGCACGTACATCCATCTTATGTTGAACTTAGAGCTAAGTACTAAGAATTTATCTGCTATGAGAAAAAGACAGGGATCATAAATGTAAATTTCAGTTGACTGCAGAGTCGTGAAATTGGACCCAAACATAGACAAGAATTGGAGTTCAGATTTCCCATGGTTTTTTAACCAGGTGCATCGAATGCCAAGGCAGAAGGGCACACTCGGCCCAGGGGCAGCTGCCTACAGCCTCCCCAGCTTGCTACGGACCCAGTCAGACTACAACCAGGCACCGGCCTCCAGTTCCTTCCACAAGCCCATTGCGGTCGCGCAGGACAAGCGCGGGAACCAACCAGCACCAAATCAATACAACGTGAGTGCTCATTTAACTGGCCTGTCTGTTGTCATATCTGGACCTATCTATACCGACTCTGTGTACAATTTGTACGCCAACTTGAGAAACCAAAATCAATGTTTTCATAATGTGATACTTTCACCGTTGCGAAAAATCAAATTTTGATTTGCCTTCTCGTTGGGATACAGATATCCGACAATGTGTTACACAAGCACCATGGTAGCCAATTCCAAGCGTCATTCAAGTCGACCTCCAAGAGGGTAGATTTCCAGGGACACAAGACATTAGCGCCTGCTCCTTGTAAGTACTTCAGCCTCAAAAGCTTAGGGTGTCTTTAACTTTTAGCAAGTTCTCTTCACTTAAATGTTGGGAGACCTCTTTGGAGATGAAGTAAAAATAACAAGGGCAGGAAGAACTACCCAGTGCTTCTTTTGTTGTTGTTCTTGTTTGATTTTGGTTCGCCCCTCATTGTCCTTAATTAAACACAACCTGTTATTTGTTAAAAAAGCAGACCAAAAATTAGTGAAAATGTGCTTCATAATTGAGTGATTAATTTACCAAAGAAAAAGGTGCATTACATGAATTAATGCTAGTTAGGCGAAACGAGCCCAGCGTTTCTCTATAAAGATGATGAAGAGAAAGAAAACGGGCGTGCTCGTTAAAGAAAATTCTCAAATGGTTAGTTTTGATCTTGGTTCATTTCTGTAATGTTATTCGGTTCTCTCACTATAGGCCAGTATACAATCAGCGACAGTCTCACCAAAACTTCCAGCAAAGTTCCCACCAGTTGCTTCAAATCGACCTCCAAACGACAAATGACTGCCATGCCTGTCAATGTAAGTCAGAAGTGCATGTATTGCACATCTGCGTCCCACTTGGATATGAACGCATAAATCCAAGTACATGAACTCCAAGATCCCGCAAAAATTTACAGTTCATGCTAAGAAGACGACGCCTTTGTTCACAATTCACATAATCTTCTGTTTTGCTTTATGTTTTTGTAGAACCCAGGTCCCGGCCACTACAAGCCTCATGAACCAGTCGAAGAGCCTGCTAACAGGTTACTGATGCCGTAAGTTCACAGTCCGGTTTTTAGTATTTCTTCTTTCCAAATAAGCACATTTCATGCAACTGCTTACTTGAATTCTAGTTTTTGTTCCTACATCCTTGCTTATTAAGTCTCTCAACTTCTGTCGCTGACAAAGTTGAGGTATAGAATAGTTTTGTTGCATGACTGAAAGTTAATGCTATACTTGAGTTTCAATCTGGTACAGCACCAGTTTCAAATCATCTACGAATGCGGGTGAAATCTCGCACGAACATGTGGTGTGTATGCTGGAGTTACTGTGGGTGGGCATTCACCACGTTCAGGGGACAAGTTCTTTTGTTAGGGAAATTTGAACTGAGTTATGGGGGCATTTCTGAGTCCCCACAACGTTTTTCAGGGTCCCCACAGAATAGGTGATATGTCAAGTGTATGTCCCCACAACTACGGTGCGGGAGTGTGTGGTCTTGCGTGGTTTTTTTTTAACCATACTTTGGAAATCACAAGCAGTGCCTACTATCATTAATGGCCTCCTACCCCATCTGTTGCAGGAGAAAGCATTACTTGTGTATATCCGCCCCTGCTATGCCCCTCCCACCTCCCTTACCAGAGCCGGGCCCGGGCAGCTACGAGCTGGTCAACTACAAGGGTCCATCTAAGCATTACATGTCCGGAGCAGTGTTTGTGTCGACGACAAGTCGATGGACGGGCAACGTCCACAGGACCTTGGATAACCCGGGACCAGGTATACATTTTTTGTTGATTCGACATTGTTCTTTAGGACTGTCACAGTGGATTGGATTTCTGGAAGTTGGTCTCTGCTACTTAACACGTTGACTTGTAGTCGGCAGTCAAATTGTTAAGGCCTAAAACGTGGATCAGACGTCCGGATGGGGGCAGATTTATTGCTTCTCTTTGGTTCTACAGGGTACACTTGTGGATTCAGGACATCCCAATTTGTGTTTTTGTTTTCCCCACTTCAATTTCCATTTACTAAAAAAGTATTCAACTTTGCAGTCCACAGCAAGTGAACAAACCCTGCTTCCAAATTCTTGCTTTCATAAACCCAGGTTGCATTTGCATGCAAAGTCATCCCGCCTGCTCATTTCCTTATCTGCAGTACCGTTTGTTGTAACAGAGACTTGCAAAGCTCAAGAGGCATTGAAACTTCTTCACGATCAATGCTAGATTGCTATTTTTTTTTCTATTCCCTTTGCAGCAACGTACCGACCAGAACCTGTCAATAAAGGCCAGTCGTTCCTGTACAACGCACAGAAGAAATGGATCCTACCATGATCCTCCAAAACTCCTGCTTACCCGTCCGACCTCAGTTTTGTGGACTGTCGTAGCTGTCCCCTTGGCAGGATTTCAATATTTATCGAAGTGTGAAAAGAAGATATTCCCAACTTTGTTTCTGGAAAGATTGAAACAGAACCTCAGAACCCGTAGAGCTGTAAGCTAAGCTATTCATACAACACGTCCACAAATGTACGAGGTCAGCTTAAAGGAATGGAAAGTTGTTTTTTTTTTACAGTTGTCCAGCTCCGGAATGAAAACGTTCTCTGAAACTTCACAGTGCATTTAAGCTCCCCAAAAATCAAGTTTCATTTTTTCAGTAAAAATATTTTGGAGTGTTTTCTAAAAGTGTAACAAGTCAAGCCTGATGATAAATAGGTTATGAGTGTTCCAGATGGGTCCTGAAATATTTGAAATCTTCCTACAAGGAATTTAATTGGCACTCACTTTTTAGGGGGTTGTGAATTGGGAATAGAAGGTGAACTGTGATCCGTCCAGAATCTTTTTTTTAAATTTTGGTGTATAAAACTGCTTTTACTGTCAGGAGGATAAAAAAAATCTTAAGATTTTTAGATACAGGCATTTTGTTTTCCAAAGCTTGTAATATTTATTTGTAAATAAAATTGCATTTACGTACCTGCTTGTAAATTAATTTTTAAATGTATATATGTATAACATTAAAATAAAAAAGGTGATATGAATTTTGTGCTTTGTGTATATTTTTTAGAAAAAAAGGTTTTTCTTAATTTTTCATCCAAACCTTAGAATTGGATTTCGTCCGATTTCATAGCATTGGAATTTACGAACAAGTGTCTGGTGCAGACGACTCCTCACTTACAAAAGCGCCACCAACGGTAACTGGTGCTCAAGCCACCATACGTCACGGTTTCCATGCCGCTAACACGACGCCTTCTAACACGCCACCGCGGGGTCTATAAACAATCATTTGATTGGTGCTGCAACACAGAATGAAAACAAAGTGGCAAATAGCAGACCCTTTTGAGTTGTGACTCGGTGGATGTTGTGTTGCTTAGCGACGAACATATGGGAGTGTGTTTTGGTCGTGCCACACGCATGCGGCAGGCTAGTATATATTCGTCGTGTTGTGAGAGTGAAAAAGCGCACACACATATCTACGGGCTCACACATCCAGAAGAAACTAGGGTTTTATTGAGCGACTTGTGTTGTAGAAAGCTACATTTTTCTTCCGTTTCTGTTGAGTGTATTTGTGGTGAGTTGATTGCTGAGCTTTAGCATGTTTGGAATGAATTGAGCTACCTGCCGTAACTTTGCTAAACGATAGGCCTTACGTTATATTGTTTTTCCAAAGTTTGGCCTAAATTTGTGAAATTAGGTTAACTTTCAGACGTAAGGCTAGGCTAATCATGTTAATCTTAATGACCACCTTAGGCTGAGCCGACGCGCCAAGGCCAACAGGCTCAGGTTTGAATAGGGCCTAGTAGACCTAGGTCCACAGATGATACTATCCCTGCTTGGTAACACTACAGATTTTATGTTGAAAGATGTTATGTTTTCTGTGTGCATTAGGCCTATTTGTTTTTTCTGTGTCTTGCATGAAAAATTCCATAGGGGCCTAGCCTAATCATGTCTATCAGAGCAGACATAGCCAGCAAGCCAGTCACTCACTTCGCTCCGTCTGACTGGCACACCAACAACCACCTCCTTGCCACAAACGCTGAGAAGCTCCGCGATGGCTCCCATGACACTCGCCAGAGCTCCCACCAACTCCGCAATGAGACATACAACCGCACAGCCTGGGGCATCCATGACAGCACCACGCGGCTGTCCAACCGTATCGACGACATAGAGAAGTGGCGGGAAACACTGGAGAAGACACTGGCTGACACGGACGAGGAGATTGCTAGACTCGCTCAGATGAAGGATGAAGCCGAGAGGGCACTGGAGGCCAAAGCGTTGCCCCTTGATGTTGCGACCGAGTGTGTAACACTCCGAGACGGCCGCAGAAAAATTGATGTTGTTGATGATGAGGCTAGTTCACAGTTGAATAAGGTAAAAACTTAAGTCTAGAAATGCCTATAAAAATGAAGCACGAAATGATGGAAAAAGAAATTCAAAATGTACAGCAGATTACATTATTTATTTAAGAGTCATAAACAAAATTATTAAATTCTTTCCTGGGATGAGTAAAGTTACTTTCAGCAATGGAGCATTGTAAAATCTCTACAACACACTTGTCACCTAAAACTCCTCATTTCAGAATGTAAACATGACTTCTTATTTCCCTGACCAGGAAGTAGAGGTAATCGAAGGCATCAAGGAGGCCTTGCAGGCCAAAGTGGCCTCGGCCTTTGAGCAGCTGTGTCTTCTACAGGAGGCCCGCCAGCAGCTGGCCGCAGACCTGCGCGACAAGACGGAGGCCAAACAGATCGACACATACTGCAAGGATCTCAGCATCGATTCACCCGACATCTGCCTGCAGCCAAACTCCACCCGCACGCCCAAGGGGTTGGTCCTGTTGCGTTGTAAACCCGTTAAGAAAATTGAACCAACAAATGGTCTCTCGGTGTTTTTGTATCGAGTACATGTATGCCGCGTATTAATATCCGAATTTTGAATTTCATTGAATAGGAGTGTGACCCCTCAGACATGGCAGGACTTCAGCCAGTACAACACAGACCGCGCCAATGCCGAGATCCGCTCATCCACCCACCTACGCGAGGCCATCAACAACACCATCAAACAGACCGACAACGACCTGGAGGCCCAGCGCCAGGCCTCGGAGTTTGCGCTACGGAAACGCATCCACGAGATGGAGCAGGCCAAAGATGAGGACGAGTGGCAGAAGAAAAATGTGAGTGCAGGACAGAGTCTCGTGACTTACGACTCAGACTTTGGACCTGACACAGGACAAGTTCAAATGAAATAAAGTCACATTATTCCCAGACAGGAAAAAATTCATTTCATAAATTTGTACACCTGATGATTATCACTGATGTATTTTCTTCCTTTGAAACAGACAGAAGAGGAGATTGCCAAACAGGAGAAGAACATTCGAGATCTCGAGCGTGCCATTGAAGACAAGCAGAAGCCCTTGATGTTGGCCATGACACGCCTGGAGAACCGCACCTACAGACCAAACGTGGAACTCTGCCGAGACAACGCCCAGTACGGCCTGGTGGGGGAAGTACATGAGATCCAGGACTCAATCAAGGCCTTGCAGAACAAGCTGCAGGACTCACAGTAAGTTGCTCAGTCTCAATAATCATAATTGACGAGGATCATCTCTGTAAAGCAATGCTTCAGATGCTGCCTTTGGGTCACTGCCTAATCTTCATAGAGAATAAATTGAGAATGCACCAAGAGGATTTCCAAATCTCAACCTTTATGTTTGTCTCTGCCTAATTTTTACCCCCGACTTTGGAGTTTCAGATCATGAAAAGGTTTCGTTGGAGAAGGATGGGAATATACATGCATTTTCATTTAGTTTCGACATTATTGGCCTGCAAACTGTTTCCATGTCAGAAACGAAGCCTGAGACATAGTTGAGATTAAATAAAAACCAATGCTACAAATGCTGAGTGTGAAGTTTTTAATTCCAGGAGAGATACTGCAAAAAGAATATGAAAAAAAAAACTAATGAATTTTCAAATACCCCTGTAAAATACTGAAGTAAACAGTGTGTTTTTTGGGGTTTGTTTGGTTGTTTTCCAGTACCTAAAGCTAACCCACTGACTACCCTTTTCTTTTCACAGCAACATCAGGGATGCTAACGAGAAGCAACTTGACCGCATCAAGCAGGATCTAGTGCTCAAGAACAACTCCCTGGACCTGGACAACAAGTGCATGAAGGTCAGGGAGCAGCTGACCTCCGGCCCCGTCACCCAAACCCAGAAGAACTTGGGCACATTCCGGACCGATCGGGAGCTGTACACTGCCATGAATGCCATCCAATATTGAGGCTTATCAAGGATTTGGAGGGGGGGAGTTGTTGGTCGGAGCTCTAACAGGGAGGTCCAGTTATTCAACACTGCAGTATGTGGAAATCTGTTGACTTGGTAGCAGAGACAAAGGAGTTTTCTTCACTGTTGCTAATCACCTCCGAGTGTCTTGGGTTCCGAGCGGCACTTTTCAAGAACTGCTCCCGAATTCTCTCTGATGAGATTTTTTTTTAGTCAAGAGGTGTACCGTATTCAAACCAGATCAGATTTGTAAACCTGTACGGATTCTGAGACATGAAAGCAAATGTTGTCATTGTTTCTTTCCCTATTCTGAGAACACATTTACATAAAGCCCTACCAAGTCAGCGTTTCTGCTACCGAGTGGATAGATTATGTCCTCCTTTTCAAGCCCGAGAGAGAAATGTTAATTTATATCCCGTACTTCCAAAAACATTGTACAGAATAACCAATGTTTCCAGTAAGTCCTCTGGTCAGTTGACCATTTTACCATCATGAGACTGTGAAATTTTACCTTCCAATAATTCTCAACACAAGTAAAGCAAATGACCACTTTGCCAATTACTGTCCTGCAAAATCTGTCCATGTATTGCAGCCAGACAGCATTTTATAAGAGCTGCTTGTTCTTTTTTTTTTAATATTAAATATGCTTTAAAAGGTAACATGATTTAACTGGGTTGTCGTGTTACTGTTTGGTGTAGGCTGGCAGCAACATTTCTGAGGCTGGAACACCACACCAACAGTATCTTTGTCAGTTACAGGGCGCAGTTTAATCAATTATAAACCTTAAAACTTAAAAGCTCTCCTGTTTCAATTATCTTCAATTTTTTTTTGAGTGAAAAGAAGAAGTAAAGCAGTAAAAACTGGGTCGACTTTTTCTTCAGTAAATCGGACTTCGGAGGGAGGGAAGGGGGCTTAGGCAAGGGACAATGATATGCATGGATTTATTTTGTACTCAAGTCTAACTTATCAAATGCCTTATTGCATGGTTGTAGTGAAATAGAAATCCAGTGAATTGTCAAATGCACATTGAGCAATTTCTGTTATTTTCAGCACTGTATATAGTGTGAGTATTAATATGCATCAAATTTTCTTTAATGTGGCAATGCATGAATATCCTAATAAAGAACTGTCATAAACTCAGTTCAGACTTCTTCAATTTGACTGTTTTTCCCATTGTCAAAGTCTTCTTCCAAACGCTACAAAGAAATAGAACGCACATTATACATGTACATATTTCCAGTGCAACATTCAGCATGTTTATAGGTTATTTTGACTGCAAAATAAGCGCAGAAAGAAAGACTAAATAAACAAGGAAACTTATTTTTCGTTTTTTGTAAATTTATGTACAGACATAACCATACAGACATGTAATGTCACAGGTTCCTGAAACTGAGCACTCGAACACAAAGCATGAAAAAAATACAATATGATGAATGGAAATTTTCCACCTTTCGCTAATCCGGCAGACACAGGACTGTACTTCTTAAAAAAAACAACCTCCCTCAGAACTAAGCAGCAGTTGAAAGTTTCCAGAGAGTTCAAAGATATTTTTTAATTGAATACACCTGTACGTGTAGAAGTACATGTATATGCAAACATTAAATAAGAGTGTGCATGCCATCACGATTTTCAAGACAATTCTATACCAACTTTACAAATATACAACTGGCAGTTTCCATGGAATTTATTATCAAATTATTTAATGGACGGATGGAGCAGTTGGAATGTTCCGCATGAGCACCCTGGGGCATGTTTTGGCATGCATGAAACAATGTCTGTTTGTGATATAACCGTGAACAGTCCTTATTCGCTTGCAAAAAACCCATGAACTAAAACATTGTTTCAATTTCATGCAAACGAGCACAGCGTACCCCTCACTTCAAATCAATGGAGGTACGTCAGGGTCATCCACAAAGTCCTCACTATTGGGTCTATCCACAGCCTCCTTCCTCTTTGTACACTCATACGGTCCATGTTGGCCAGACTTCTCTGTCACCATGAGGTCCACATTTTTTGCCAACGTTGGATCGACCTCCAACGTTCCACCAAACGGGCTGAGGAGAGGAAAGAAAAGCGATCTTGGGCCTTACCATTTGCCAAAGACATGATAAAGTCCGGGTCATTTTGACAAAGATACAACACCCCAAATGTTTACATTATCTATGCCTAACTAATTTTATTTCATTAACAAACGTGGGGTCACTCATCTAAATAAATGGATTAAGGATGAGGCAAACCTTATTTGAAAAAATTAATGGGGTGCAATTATAACAAATGACAACAAACCTTCCCATTGATTTCCTCTGCTTTTCCTCATCTATGGATCTGATGTCTCTTGCGGTGTTGGTTGGTTTTGTGACTTTGGCCTTAATGACCTTGTTCGCCTTTACAATAAAAAATATTAACAAATTTATCACCAATTACAAACATTCGGCAATTGCATTTCATGTACATGTACTTCCATAGTGCTGCCTCAGGTAAAGATATCTATGCCCAGATGACCTTTAGGAATGTGACCTTTGACCTTGGCAAATTGACCTCTTACCTTTGGCATTGTGATGAGCAGATGTCCAGTGGTCTGTGACCGCTGGGCCTTGCTGCTGTCAGGCATGATCTCTTCTGTCAAAACCAACTGGAACACCTATGAACACCGAAGAAAAAAAAAATGAGACTAGCCCGTAATCAATTTGACAAATTTACAGTTGCTGTTGTATAGAAACACAGACAAGCCGATTCCTGACCTTTCCTTTGATGACAACCTTGACGTGGGTCGGTTGGACATCCACATCGATGAGTGAGGTATCAAGGTATTTATAGCATGCCACATCCAGGCATAGACAATTGTTCGCTTCGTCGTCTGTCAGTGAGAAGTCAATTCTGTCAAGAGTTAAAGTTGTGATCTGTTATGGCACGTGCAGATACGATGTGACATCAATGGCATCTCCAATAAAGTGACTTCAAAGCCGTCCCCGACTTTTGGCAATGAAAGTCAAACGACCGAGGATCATCAATTCACTACAACTCGCTCAGAATGAACAGTCGACATGTGTACATTCAGATTTCATGCAAACAACTGCAGCAAAAGAGCATATCCCATTCTCAAATCCTGGGAACAGCCATTTGAGGTTAGCCGGGGAGAAAAATCAGCATTGCAACACAGGTTTTGGCCATCTAAAGGCTCACATCCTTCCAAAGATCAGTTCTTTGCCCTCATACTGACTTACAATTACACATCCGCTTATGACACCTCATGAAGGCTTGCATTATTTGTTTCTACTTGAAGGGTTAAAATTGGACTCACTTTGCTTCATTAACATTCAGTAGTTTACCATCGTCAGTCTTCAACCGGATCTTCCGTTTGGGAACATCGGGACCAGGTTTCCTTCCGTGAGCAAAAGCAATGGCAATAACACACAGGAGTCAAGGACGAGTGCAAACAGAGTATTGGACCAGCATGGGGTCTGGTTGGGTTAGATCGAGAATTACCATTGCTTTATTGCATGGAGAAGAAATTAATGATAAACGATTGAGGAAAATGATATCAACTTACGATTTCTTCTCGTCTTTTTCCCTCGCCTTCTTGACATGTTCGTGAACTGCTATTCTGAACTCGGGAGTGAATTCTGTTTCCTCCTGCCAGAAACTGCACATGAATAGCAGTCACAAAAACATCTCACACAATCTCTTTCAAATTCCTATCCTGTTGCTTTAAGACAGTTGACATATCTCAAAACCTTCAAACCAGTCTTTCAACTTGAAACTAGTGTCCAAAGGAGAAACCAACCTGCTTAAGTCCTCTTCCGTTTCCATGGTTTCTGTCTCATCGTCTTCCTGAATTCCTTGGCCGTTTGAGCTGCTCTCCTTTGTTCTGGTTGAGTCCCTGAGAAAACAGCGATGGAAAGTTTTCTAAATCAAATAACATCAACATCAGCTTGGACCTAGTTGCAAGGTTTGACTAATAAGCATTTGTAAAACTTCATATTAGTGTAAATACCTCAATGTTTCAGCACAGATATGAAGTAAACTCACCCCTCGTTCACATCAGTGTACCAGCGACCATCGAATCCAGGCCTTTTGTTCTCCTCCATTTTCTTACTTTCTCCTTTCTCTTTTTCCTTCCAAGACAGAAAGTGTCAAATCCAAAGGCTGAAACCATTCTGCTCACACATTTTTTTTTAGGGATGATGAACAACAGAAGTGCATCCGATACTCACTCTTTTTATTCTGTACTCTTCTTCTTGTTGAAGTATCTTGGGTCGGATGCTGCTCAAGGCTTGGACCGCTTTGATTCGCTCCGATTTTTCTATCTCTTTACCGTCAAGATACTGTCCAAAGAACAACCCTCATCACTTTTGTCATTTTACTGCAATTGATTCTCAACAGGCAAGAGAAAGTCTATTACAATTAATGAAATGTGGAGGTTCTGCACCTGTACTTTTGTGCTCATTCCTATGAAATTGCTTACCTTTAACTGTGGCAAGACGGCAACGACATACTCCCTGTATCCTTCAAACTTTGTGCATGGGTTGCCTGTTAAGAACCTGAATAAAGAACACGAGGCAATACAACGATATTTGGAGTGATTGCAATTTTGGTTGGGTTAATTTTAAAAAACCTACAAAAATCAATCCAGACCTCCAGAGAATTTTGAAGAATCTCGCAGGCTTACGGTGAATAAATATACTGTACACCCAAATGCCTTGTAACATCACACAGTCTTGCATCGACGCAAATATCGATTTTACTTACAGCTCTCTCAGGTTGTAGTTTTCCTTCAGGCTCTCAAGACTCGTGAGCTCCCCTACAAAATTAACGGTAAGGTCCAATTTCTTGAGTGACTCACACCCTGAGGAACAATAGGGAGATGGAGGAAAGAATGGTACCACGTAATCTTTGTGAGTTGTAGGGGTACACATGAGAACAAACTGTTTTAGTCCATATGAACCTTGACCATTTCCCTCTGTGGAGTCACTAGGCCAATCAGATCACTTTGTTTTAATGCATGCTGCAGCATTGCATTCTTGTTTGCCCGTGCTCAATTCTGTCTCTTCTCTGGGGCAAAGCTGGCGGAACGCGGGCAGCTGTAAGGACAAAAACATGACTGGTCTCACCTTCCAAGCTCTCGATTCTCTCGACATTGTTTAGTGCCATGTTGAGGTATTCCATCTTCTTCAATCTGCTGACATTCTCTGAGAAAAAAAAGGTCAAACAATGAAACTATGGTCAAGAAAATAATGTCAGTTTGGTTAGTACGGTTTGGTTAGTATGGTGAAAATTCTTGTTTTCTACAGTAAATTTCTGGGTTCATTCTCACCTATTTTGGGAATGAGATTGCTTTGTAGATACAGGATTTTCAGCTCACGGCACCATTTATCCAAATGCTCTATCCTATTGGTGAGGATAAACATGTATGAATATTCATGAAATACAAGGATATATAAACCAATCAGCGGCATGTGTCAGACAGGTCCATTCACTGATATAAGCTTGCATTAAAATTTCTATCCCTACTTATATAAAAGTTGCACTGATATTCTGTGACTTTGTTTTACATCTAATGCTGCATATTACTTGTAAATAAATAGAAGTTTGAAAAATACCTTGAAAAATCATTATTGGGGCTTAGTACCACACAGATATGTGAAAATGGGAAACAAAAAAAGAAGTGTTCATTTTCCAAATTCAAATTATTAATTTGAAAACTGTGCAAGTTTTCCACAAATGTGGGATTTTAAGGAACAACAATAGCATACCAGATGTCATTAAAAAACTTCACTGTTCACTTGCTTGACACAATTAAGATAACTAAATAAAACCTGTTGGAACTAACTGCATGCAACTGAGAGAGGTTGGGATTCTGAAAGGTACAAGACGGGAAATGAACTCTTTAATTCATGAAAGAAAGCTCAAAAATTGAGCCCACCGTTCAATATCTTGCTGATGGAGGGAGATTTCTTCCAGTGTTGATATCTCCATGTTATTGTGTTCTGCCCGCTTGCGGATTAGGTCCTCTGAAACTTGACGAGGTGAAAATGAAAAGACACTATGCAGAAAGGCAATGAAAAATCTCTTTATTAACGTTAATAATAAAACGGTTTACAGTCACTTCGCCCCATTTCCACATCACCCCATCTCCACTTCGCCCCATTCCCACTTTGCCCCGTTTCCACCAGGCCCCATTTCCAGTTGGACTAGCATCGGTGTTATTTCTCATCCTCTTCAAGTTTATTTCAAAGCGACATACACAATTCTGTTCACATCGGTCTGGTAATTAATTGTTGATGCATCTGCATCTGGACAGCTGTACCCGGGTGATCGAATAAAGCTCAGCACGCAGGAAATTTCGTGGAAACATGCTCACTTCAAGTACGAGCAAAACAACTTAAACTTAAACTGATGAAACACAGAAAATACACACATAGACAAAATACTAAAAAATTAAGGTGAAGAAATCTTGCAACATCAATTTTTTTTCGTGTAACATTATAACTTGGGAAAAAAGTGCAGTCGTCACTTACTTCGCACCATCTTTGTCAAGACCAGAGCTAAATTCACCACCACTGCAGCTGCAAGACTAATACTTCACTTGTTCGAATCTAGGAGAGCAGTAATGAACCTCTGGTGGTTGTAACTATCCTTGTAACGTGTAAACCAAACTTCATTAACATTACTGAGTTTGAATTGACTACTCACACACCACAGTCTAGTTTGATGTAACCAGAGAGCAGCTAGCTAGTTGTAAACAGAATAAATAGCGCCACCAATAGCTCAGACCGTCTGATCAATAATTTCGTTAAAACTCCATCTGAAGACTGTTGTCTGCTATTACCATTTAATTTTTTTATTATAAGATTTCTCCCAATTTTAGTATACCGTCTGCCTTTTGTAGATTGAAACTGAAAAAAAAACCAATTCACCCGAAATTAAGGATAACCTGATGGAGGGGGGGTATAGTGTCTAGTTCCCATCTCCCACTCTCTGTTCCTACCTATGGCGTGTATGCCTGGGGCATACCGGCGCGGTACCGACCAAACATTCCACTTGTGAAAAAACCCACAAAAACATGACACGGGATGGCCAAGTCCAAGCCAAGTTTAACCGCAAATATAACCAGTTACCTCGAGGGCCATGTGTACCCAGAAAAGCGAACCACCAGGTTGTCGCATCAGGGACTTATTGAAAGGACTGTGGCACCAATTCTTCAGCTTGTCGGGGAGAATGACGACCGTTTTCAGACCGATGTACCCCGCACTTCAGACTGTACCTTCGGGGTGACTGCCGTTGGCGAACACCGCTTCGATATCTTGGTCCCACTTCGTAATCTCCTCACCCGGAAAAGTCAAGGTGTACCGGCAGAAACGGAGTGCTTCACCTACACGGATTCTAGTCAGAGCGCTAATCCTTACGTCAAGCCGTTGCCTGGCTTTGGGTTTGTGAGGACAGACACGACTGTCACGCTTCTACAGGATTTGTGCGGCAGAAATGAGGATGTAGGTTGCTATGGTTACAGATGGCGGGCGTGATTCTGTGGGTTAGATGCCCCCATCCCGACCATTAAAAACATTTCCTTGTGAACTTTCAACACTCCTCCCCTCCCATTTCAGAATTCTTCAAATTGTCCTAGAATACATGAAACAAAATAAACAATCAAGCAATTCTGTGAAAAATCTCTTAAAATTTTCTGAATTAAATTTAAAAAAATATTTTGCAATGCTTATAAAAGCGCAGTTTAAATATACCTGTTAAATGAAGTTAATTGTAGACTTAAGTTGTTTACAAAGGGTGATACTTTGAGCTGAACTTTTTTAAATTCCAAGTGTTATTGAGTTCAGGCGATGAATGTACCAATGAATTTATTTTCACAGGAGCAGGGTTCTTTGTTGATGCCTGGTAAAGTCTTGCGTCGGTTCCATCGTCATATTGAGGCGGCAGTCCACACATTGGAGCAAGAATGCTTCTGGGAACGAGAGCCGACAGTCTACCAGGTCATGGTCCAGCTGGAAGGTCAGTTCAGGGATACAATGCTAGAGTGTCCACAGTGGCCATTTTTCTCTGGGTGGCTACTTTAGCCAGACTTCACCGTGCAAGTATCTAGGACATTGGACAGAATACCTGTACCCAGATTCTCGAATAAACTCATACTTGCTTTTTTTTCTTGGTTTATTTGAATAAAACTGGGTGTAATCATACAAATTCTGCTTTAAATTTGCTGAAGGATTGTGTTGTATAAGATCTCTCAAGTAAAGATACATGACCTTTCTGATTTCAGGACCTTCTGTGACACTGACTGTTCTCATGAGGGGCAATACCTACACTGTTAGTCTCTTACCAGCCATTCATGTGAACACATGGCCAGGGGAGATATTGAGCCAATGGCCTCATTGTTCATGGATGTCATTGAACAAAATTGAGTCCGTCAAATCACATTTCTACCTCTTTGCAATAAGGTATGTGGCCGTAGTTTGACAGATATTATGAGAGAGGAATATTTTGTCAGAGAAGTTTCCTTTTTTTCAAGAAAAAGAATGCCTTATTATTTCTTACCATCATAATTTTTGTGTGTGGAACTTTCTTATTTCTTTCCATGTAGAAAAAGCCAAGGATGTTTATCTTCAATAACATTTTTCAAAGACTTTTTGACCATTTGTAAAATTTGAAGTATTCTAGCCAGTTTTTTAACTGGTTTTGATTTAGAAATCCATTTTTGTTTTGACTTGTAGGCCTAAAGGGACTGACGATGCTCGTAAACTGTGGTGTGGCTGTTTTTACCCTGGTGAGATACTTCTAGCCTCACAGGCAGATGATGGTAGCAATAAGGATACATGCCGACATCGGGCCTTGGATGCTATGCTCGCGGTGCAGGATGAGAACTGCCAGGACTTCCATCCAGTCACCTCTCGCATCATCCGCACTGCATTCCTGCACCAATGTGTGCAGTATCCCCAGGACGAAGACTGGGAACCAGACAAGCTGGGCCGCGCCTTCGTGGACCTTTTCCTGGCCATCATCCAAGGCCTTATCAAAGGGGCTTGTTCTCATTTCTTTCTCCCCCAAACAAACCTTTTGGCTGGTTACGACAAGAAAGACCTGAGGCGGGTTGCCGCCCACCTCAAGGTGATTCTGAATGACGTTGTGCAGCGTCCTGACCAAACCAACTTCCTGGGAGACTCTCGTGGACGGAAGAAATTCTCTCTGTTGAAAACAACTTGTGGTCCGAAATTCTAACATACTGTGATAACCAGCAAATAGCAGGCTGAAAAGAACTTTTAGAAAGGATGAAACTATTATTTTTACTCGGATAGAACATTGTTCATGTTGTTGCAGATTTTGGGGAGTAAACGTAATTTTAATTACAATAAACTTGTATTTACTTACAGTTGTTAACATATTTTGCATAGTACCTTTCTTTGTATTCAAAGAAAATTATACATGACCCAAGAAGATATTAAAAACCTTGGATGAAATTTAAGATCTGTTTGAAACTTGACTTTTTTAATCCAGACAAAATGACTATCTCGTGGGAGGTTGGCATTACACCGCAAAACCCCATTGCTGTGTCGGGCGTTTTGGTTCCTTGTTTACGATTTTCACTGAAAGAACTATGAGTGGAGACTTAATTGTCTCGGATTAAACAGAAGAATTGACTGTCAGTTGGGGTGTCAAGCCTTCCTTCGGTGGTGACGAGAGTTGGCTTTGGTCATTGGGGGCGCTGCTTCGGTATGCCGCCTTATTAGAGCTCTGAGAGAATTGTATTACGTGAGATGCGTATCCGCTTGAAATGCATGGATCGTCACACTCGATATCGCTTCAATAGGGCGTGCCTGATGGAGCGTAAAGTTTGTCGGACCACAAGCATTGAAATAGCCCCTCAAATAAAAATTCACCTTGAAAATGCCAACAATTCCTATAACTGCATCAACGTTCTTTTTATACTGAGCTTGTATGTGCAAGGCGTTGAAGTACTGCCGCTGTCTATTTGAGTTTTCGGAGTAGTACACACCTTGACAAGTTAGCTTTGTTACGGTCTTCTTTTAGGTAACGGTTAACCCCTGTCTTCGTTATCTGGTTCACACTGTTAGTCACCGTTCCCACTTCTACATTTTAACCAATTATTTTAAACCGTATTCACTTGTAGATCCAAACGTGATATTGATTTATGATATTATGAAGTAATCGGCTAAGTTTAGAAGGACAAGGTCGACAAAGCTAGGTCAAAATACTCGATGCCACCACTACCCTCACTATGAAAGTGTGCCTCGCTGGTATGCCTTCACAATCGATATTAACTTCAGTGGACCACTTTTCAATGAACCCGAGCAGCCTGAAAACGTATAATAATACAGAATTCTTGTCACATAGGGCCTAGACCTTTGGACACGGCATTGTTCAGTAGCGGGGCACGAACTCCGGTCCAAAGTACCACCGCGACTTCCAACATTAATTATGTGATTATGGAGATAAAAGAAATGACTCGCACTGTACTCGGATTACTATAAAGCCAAGATATCGAGACTCTAGGTTGTTTGTTTCCAAGATGGATTTGACTTGTCTGTTTCTTCGGCATGGAGTGATATACATCTTGGTGGCTCTTCTCTGTATTATTCAGTTGGTCGGAATTATGCTCCGAGTACACTGTGAGTAGGTTTATCATTTTCCAGTTGGGAAACCCGGGAGTTGACAGCAAGGGTGGGGAGCTATATATATCAATCGGAGAAAGTTCCCGCCCAAAGCTGGTGACGCGGAACTGCAAATAATTTATGCCATTGCGTTCAGCCAAAGTATAGCTATTCAGCAAAATTACAGATATTGGTATTATCGGAAAACCGGGATTAAATGAGGTCACAGTAACAGGAAATTGTCTTTCTTCTTAGGTGAAATCTGCCTGTTATATCTCTACTCCTAATTGATTAGGCCCACTTTTATTATCCGCACATTTTTACGTTTTGCCTGCAACTCCGCCGTGTTAGTTTACGTCTGCAGTCTGTCATATTCTTTAAAAGTCTCTTTATCCTTAATTTTACCCAGCACTTGTCAGATAATTTAGTTGCAGGCACTAGAGAGTATTTCAGCATCACATCTCTGTAGCAACCTTCTTCCAACGAGAGCTTCGACATTCGCAACTGTCAACGACTTCCCTTATAAGTTGACAACTTCAAGTTCCAAAAAATATTTAAACACTCTGTAAGACATATTTCTTGTCCGCGAAATCTTATATTTAAAAGAGTCGCCTTTTAGAGGAATTTTTAAAAATCATGAAGTCACTAATGGATGAGTTCAATCATTAATGATGTTTGTTTCCCAACTATGACCCCTTTCCATTTCACACGTCACCGCGCTTTACCATAGCTTCGCCCAACTTTGTTAAAAGTTGGTGCGTACAAGACCTGTAAATGCGGGTCACATTTTGTTTATGTACATAAATATATGCATGCGCACTCGCAAACATACAATTTCTTATGCATATGGTCAAGAAATTAAAGTTTTTCATGTATGGGCCATTAATGATTATGAATATGATTTACATCAGGAACTAACGGGACGGTGTTTTGTGGTTTTTATTTTTTATTTGTTGACCGTTCTCGTGCATAATTGAAGGGTTTAGCCTTCAGTTCCTGATGACACTTTTATCAGTTTGTACATAACATTTTTCATAAGATGTTTTCAGCAAACCTGCTGTGCTTGTATTTACCCTATCTTCCAACTCATGGAACTGGCTTCGCGTCCCAAGCATGACCCACCCAGGTATTTTTTTTCATTGCCTCAGGCCCTAGCCACTTCGGAAATCTAGGTGTTGCTCGAGTCTGGCTTGCGCTTGCCATGAGTTCCTGAAGACTTTGATATTTTCTCAGTTTGGACATATTTTCGATGTTCGCCTCCGTATTCAACACTGAACAATAATTCATATACACTGCGCGTTAATTTTGGCCAAGTAGCCATTGCTGGAGTACACTGACAATTAGTCGACCCCACCCATCACTGTGCGGCCTAAGTTAATCATAGAGGGCGGTGTTTAGAAGGCCATTGACTAATCAGAAGTGCTTATTTTAACCAGGAAGATCAATACATTCACTATGCACAGAGGGTTCGGGTAGTAGGCGTTGTGCTGTGGGTACGGTAATGCGTGAATCACGCATTGTGCTCATGTGATCGTGCCGCTTAGTTATGAGACATGCATGCAAGATGGTGGACTGCCGCAGAAATCCTGGTCAGTTTCTTTCCCGTAGTTATTCGCGATTTTTCCGCCAGGATGTCATCTGAAACGTAGCCTGGACACTTTGGATCGTTGTTCTTCAATCTGGTGGGTCTTCCAGGCGTTCTCTCGGCGTGGATTTTTTACCATGAGAGTCGTCCGGAATGGCTAGGTTCCGAGCCGGGAGCCGTTGGGGCTGGACTGGCAACGCGAGCGGGACATTATTGCAACATCGGCCGGGTGGGTGGACTGCGAGCTCACCGGTTGCCCGTCTTGAATTTAGTGCCCCGAATCGAAGGGGATTTCTGGGATATCTCTGACATCTATCTATCGACCTTATTTCCCTCAAGTTGGACTACCCCAGCCGGTGATTGGACCGGAGAAGGGGTAGTGATTTTAGGAGTTCACCATGCGTGTTTATATGATAATGGGAACAGTCGTTTACAGGACACACCACACATGGCTGTCGCGACTGTTCCTAATTTGCGTGACTCTTTTCATGATCTGGACAGTTCTAATTTCACTGCAGTTAAAGAGTGGTGAGTATTATCTTTGTATTGGAGTTGAAAAACTGTTTATTATTAAGTTATCATAGTGCAATCGTGACATAAAATTGTTCTTTCATCATGTCATGTATGTTATTCAAAACAGGTGTGCTGTCATGAGCATCATGAGGATTTTTCTCCTTTTTAACATTTTGATATTGGTGGGGAAAACACTTGATGCCCCCGTGCACAAACCTACAAGACTTGTCTGAAAAAAAGTGTTTTCCAAGTAAATTCTTAGGAAGATTAGCTAAATTTTACTCTTTACAAGTTATCAGTATCGCTTGCATGATATAATGATATATATAATGCAATCAACAGATTGCATTGATTGACAGAGTGTTTTCGTCCATTGGTCATCGATTACAGGTCATTCCATGAGGTTGGGGCACAATTTGTGATGGTGTCCTTGTTAAATCGGGTTATTTTTAACCACCTGTCGTGACCTGTAGAGTAGGTCATTTACTCTGTAAATTCAGCCTTGCAAGATGTAGCCTTCCAAATGTCCATTTGGAATCCGCATGCAGGGAAACACCGGTACATGTTCACTGTAGCTGTTCATTTTTACGGAACCGATGTAACAACTGACACCGTCACAAAATTGTGCCCCAACGTCACCGAATGACCCGGGTGTGAGCGGCATGCACCCATGTCACATTCTATCATTGTCCGTGACAGTGGACACAGGTGATTACTGTGTTGTCAGTGTTCGTGTATAAATTTTTTATACAATGCTTACATGAGTACCGTAGATTTTGCACCTTCAGTGCGCTAGTCATAGGCAAACTCTAGAAAAATGACGCATCACCTACAGGAAATTTTACTTGAAAAACTTGCATTCTGCCACGGATACAAAAACGGCTGTGACAAGACATCATGAACTAGATGGACTTATTCCCATTTGCCCAACCAGACTGGCCCTGATTCAAATGTCACAGAGTTGTAAACCTGATACTGTATTTTTTGTTTATTTCTCATTTGTCTTCTAACATCTGCACTGTATTTTACAGCCAATTAGGTTCACAAATTATTGCGTCATTATAAATTACATTAAAACTAAACTTAAAAAGACACAAAAGGTTACAGTGCCTGGGGTAAAATGGGACGATGTTGTGATGGGATGATGTGGTCACGGGGTTTACTGTAGAACTGCTGGGGGGGGGAGTAACCTTGGGCAAAGTGATTGGAAAACCCCAGCAGCTGTCGTTGCTCCAGTGTTGAGCTCAGGGATTCTGGTAAGAGGATCTTGATAAATAAGTTAATTTGTGAGTTAATCATTCGAGAATGTCCATTTAAATTTAAAATGATTGGTTTGTGTGCATGCATAAACTACAGGTCGATTTTCACTTGTTCCAATCTGCATTTTATTTCCCAAGACAAATTTGCATTTAGAAAGGGAGAAAAGATGGAGTGGGCTTCTGAATGCAACAGAATTTGCACAGGTACTGTAACTGTGGTGCAAGTGAAATTACTGTTACCATAGAATACAAGAACAAAGAAACGTCCCTTAATTTTCCAACTTTATAAGGCAGTCCTTTCACTTCACGGGTTGACTTTGTTGTATCAAAAAAATTATTTGTTGTAGATTGTATTGTTTGACATGATGATTTCAACTATTATGTTTTCCATTCTCACAAAGGATCACATTTACATTAAAACCGTAACCCTACATCATACTACAAATTACTAGTTGCAGTAAAATGTAGTATTCAGCCCTGTCGCTTGTAAGAGGACCTTTAAGCATAGTCCTTGACCATATACATGTACTAGTGCATGTAAGGTTTCTGTAGTTAGTTTGAGACAAAGGACATTTGATAGAATTACTGTTCTTGTACCGGTACATGCTCATCCTCTGGCACATTCAAATCAGTCAGTATGTCGGTATATACAGTGTACGTCGGTATATACAGTGTACCTCTTCTAGACACTTTAAAACAAGCCTTTTGCGAGTTCCATTTGAATAAAATCTGGTACACAGAGTTCTTTAAATGAACATAACAATTGGAATTCTCCATACTAAAGCCACTGTTGGTTATACCTCGTGATTCGAGACAAGCTTTTTCTTAGTTACATAAAAGACACCTTGCAACAATACACTGTTCTCAATGGAAAAGAAGGGCACAAAGGAACCAGTCCATTCCAGAGATGGTGGTCGCTAAGCAAAAGATTGCCCCAACAGTGTATTTAGTCTGGGGAATTGAAATTCTTATGTTTGTGTGCAATCAGATAACTCAGTGTACCAGATTTTATTCAAATTTAACTCGCAAATGGTTTATTGAACAGCCATCAATAACTGGAGGCACATTCACAGTGTCCAAGAATTTCTTCACTGTTTTTTTTTTTGCAGTGAAAAAAAAAGAAGAAGTTTTTCACAGACATTGCCGGAAAAGTCAATTGTGCTTTTAAAAAACTCCACACCAAAAATGCCTGACGGCAAAATTGTCGTATTTTAGTTGAAATTGTCCAATTTATTGAAGAGGCTGGAGATATAACTCCAGTTGGATGAAGCTTAAAGAATCTTAGAAGAATGCAGTGAGATCCGTTACAATTTATGTGCAGAACGTTTTAGGTGTCCCATTATTGAGTTGTCTGATTCCTCGTTGGCGTACCATATACATGTACCTTTTCCACTTGCATTTTATAAGGCTGTCATTTTTCTTGTACACAAATCATGAATGGTAAATCATTTTGATGATCTACGCTGTTTCTTCCGCCGATAAATCTGCCGTCTCCAAGAAATAAAAGAGTTAAATAAATAAAATGACAAAAAATGAATAACTAAATGACCCCAACAAATTGAATGTACAGATGTGCACAGGACAGTGTGTGTTCAAAATGTGAAGGTGTGGGTTTGTGTGGAAATTCCAATAAATTTTAATGGTTGGTTTATGACGAGAGAGCTTGTCGCAGTCTGTACGCATTAATGCAGAATCACATGTCGTGGCCGAACATTGGCCTTCTTTTTTTGCAGCGTGAGACCGTGAGCTGTAGAATTTCCTCCGGCGTTTCTTCCAGGGACCTTGCTAAATTGGCCAGTGTCTAGCGTGTATTAAATATGCATTGCACTTAGAGTTACCGTAAACATCAGGACACTTGGCCATATGGCTTCCACACCGTACATTGTACCTGTACATGAGAATGAAATACAACTTACAATGTAAATTACCGATGGGTTGAGGTGTGTGCTAAACGAAAGTGGTACCAGTCAGAAAAAATACCCTACGCATGAAATGGTTTATTTCATATTATAATTTTGTTACCAGCCAATCGTTTCCCTTACATGTATGTTAACATGTACATGTACGTGTACATGTACGTGTACATGTACGTGTACATGTACGTGTACATGTACTGTTATAACCATATTTTATTTACTGTCTTTTCAGGCAGACAGCAAAGAATATTTTAAAAGTGTACAGTATTTTCTGGGAGGGGGTTAATGAACACTGTTCTATCCTGTTCTTGTACCCTATCTGGTACAGTGCCCAAATTTAAGAGTTTAATCGGTGAGTGTCTTTGGTTGTAAGGCACAGTTGGCAGTTCCAATCTGCTATCGTCAGTTGCTTTTCCTTTTTTCTTTGAAATCTGGGGTGAAGTTTCTTTCTTTGGTACCCTGGTACTGTGGTACATCAAGTATCAATGTCATCTTGCCCGTGTTACTGTTTTGGGCTGGTGCACTGTGCATGCAGGCGACATGGGCTGGCGAGCGCAGCCCAATAGCACTACCGATAGAGGGCGCTACATTCACGAGAGACAAACTGCCGGAAACCAGTCTTGTAGAATCTGGCGGTCTTACCGGAAAACTTCTGAGCATGCCTCGCGCGCTCAAGACCATGAGTAATAATAGTGTACGTGTAGGTACTGCCGAAGACCGCGCGCCATGCAAACTGCAGTATTTGGCAGTGTGCATGCGCGATTATTCGTGGTACATGTGATTTGAATCTGGCAGGCTGACCAGAAAACTTCTGAGCATACTACACGCGCTCAGATTACCGTGAAGAGGGTGGCAGCAATAAATTTTTTAGACTCAACTTTGTTGCAGCTCTCTACCCTCCTTCGGTGTGTGAAAATTATTTTGACAGTATCCCGCTTACAGGTAGCAGTAGTTTACATGACATGTATCGAAAAGGACACCTTTTACATTGAAAATTGTCTGTGCTTTGTTGGACAGTTGAGGGCGCTGTTGCTGAGATGTCATCCAGTGAAGACATTGTTCAGTGCATCCTTCCAGGTACATGTACCTGTAGGTTTTCTCTTCACACTTGTGAACCTACATGTAGAATTTACTCTCTGGATACATTTCTGAGGAAGGTTTGCTGGCTTGTTGATTGCCACGTACACCGGTACCGGTACGTGCACTAGTACTGGGTATTTTACACACAACAGTACCGGTAAATCATCAAAGAAAAGAAAATTTAGGCCAGTAAAATTGAAAAACAAAAAGGAAAAGATTTTTGTGCACAAACCAAAGTAACATTGAGGTTGTCTTCCTGGCTTGACATCACAGTCTGTGGAAACTCTCACGAACACAAGAGCTGAACAAGGCAGATACTGCACAGGTCTGTAAGCCTAATAATACCCTTTGAAATTGTGAGGGGAAAAGTCCAAAGAAGGTTAACCGATCACACAACCTGTCCGAGAATTGTATTTAAATTTGCAATGGAGAAATGTACAATGTACATTCTGTATACAGTCTGTATGTATGTTAATCATGCGCCAGTTCCTTCATTATACAGTTAGGTACAAAGGGTAACTTGCCAGTAAGGGACGTACATGTACGTGTACTATACATCTGAATGGCCACTCCCTATTAATGTTCTAGATGCAGCTTGGGTACGAGGGTCCATAGTCCTTCTGTCCCCCTTTTTTTCCCATGTATGCCCGTTTTTTTCCCCTGCACTCTGTAGAAATGCTGTGAAGAATTCCAGTGAATGGCTCGACCTTTCAAATTAATACCCAGAGGACTACATGTACATGTACGTGTCTATGATGTA